ACAAGCAACTATTCCAAACACACACATACATGTAACCCGGGGATTGGGGGGGAACGGAACCCAACCCACGCGTTCCCCCCTTCCCCGAACACGAACGGCCCTCGAAACCGTTGAGCGACGTGGGGCGGGTCGCGCAAAGCCAACCAAAAAAAAGCGCCATAATAACTTCCATATGTCGGTAAAAAAAATCGCAAGCGCAAAGCGGGTTGCGCGAGCGAGTTGTGCGCTGTTTTGCGCCGCGAGTCGTTTCGTTTGGCTCAAAAGAAGAGCGGGCGCTGTGATTACGGCCGACGACCCGCGCCCATAGTACGCGGCTTTTTGGGGCACAGCTTGCACATACACACACGTGCGCGCAATTACCTGCCGTGTTATCTCTCTACTTACTTGTGATATTGAAACAGCAAAAAAACATGTGATGTGATGCGATTATTAACTACTACATTATAAGAGCAAGGAGATAAGTATTGTTTTGTTTCGAAGTTCATTCACTATATTTCGGGGGAGTTGGGGGGGGGGAGGCCAGGCCAAGCCGGGGGAAATAAGATCGGCAGTTTATTGGGGGGAGGAGGAGGTTATCGTCACGTGGGTGTTCTTCTATTGTCTTGTTACAGAGTTATTTGCGAGGTTTGCGAAACGATGGTTTGGAGGGACAGGGTTTGGAGGGTGAGCGTTTGTTTAGCGAGGGATGGGAGGGATGGGAGAGGAAGAGTCGTGGGCAAGGGCAATGAGTCGTAGCCGAGGTTCGGGGTTGCGAGTCAAACGGTGAACGGGCATACTATGGTGGTCGTTCGGGGGCGAGTTGGAGACGTGATTGTGTAATCGGCTTGTTGCTCCATGGAGGGATATTCCGGGCGCGGAGTTTCTCTTGTGGAGTTGGGTGCGAAGAAGACAGAGTTCAACCCGCTGTGGGTTTTGCGATGCAGAATTCTGCAGCGATGCCTTGCGGTGGAGTTTGTTTGAATATTTTTTCGTCATTTAGTGTTTGGGTTCATGGACGGAATGACGAATTTGGGTAGTGAGAACGGCATCTTGCGCGTTGGGGTCCACATACTTTTGCTCAGAGTTTTTTTTGCTGCGACTGCAGCATGTGATGAAGGATGTTGGAGTTGCCCCACAGTCCAGGTCCACGATGCCCACTGCGATCGAGGCCATGCAAGAATTCCGGTGTGACACGTGACAAATGGGTACTTTGAGACTATTTTCGTTTGCCCAGGTTGGTAAGAGCACCGAGGTAGGATGTGGTTCCTTTGGCGTAAGGTCCCGTGACTGTGAAAGGCGTCTCGTGGTTTTCGAAAAGCGAAGGTGTGATGTCCTGTTGTTCGTTTCTTCGGATGAGAGCAAAGTGGAAAGGCTATTCTGCTCTCAAATCAATGTCCATGCGCATGCTGACAATTTCGCAATACCAATAGTGCTAAGTTCTCACATTCCATGTTCGAGTGCAGATGGTCATGTATGATAGGCTTTGCCTTGAACCTAATGTCATGGGTTCGAACATTACTTGTCATATTTTTCTCTCTTTCCAAACCTACCACTCTGTGAATCTATCGTCGCACCTTCTGGTGCTGATGCGACAAGACCTTACTCCACTGCAATCCTTCAGTCTCGTGTTCTGTGTGGAGTCGTCGAGGCGCGTTAACAGACCATTGAATACGAGGTGCAAACTGTGTAACACTGCTGCAATGATCTCCCACACTGGTAATCTCCCTTAGCAAACCCGTAATCTCTTCCTACTCTTGCCGCTATCATGAAACGGGCTCACTTTCAATATCCTCTTTTAATTTTACTCATCGTTTTCTCTCTTCGTCTTTGCTACGATGCGTTCGACCCTGCCTTATATAACAAGTGTCGATTCGATGTATTGACTATACCGTTGGAGTCGTTGTCCAGCATCGTTAGGAATCCGACATAGTGCACCATTGCAAGTAACACTGCGTAGGTTAATAAAAACACCAAGAACATGTGTTCTAGAATCAGCACCATCAATCCATGAATCCAGTTGTCTCATCCATAATGGCAGCAAAACTCTTAGTCTCACGATGTTTCCCACTAGTGACTGGAGGGAACTGAGACATTTTGATTCGAAATTCATCAGATCGCTTGATCGCTGACGCAAGATTTCTGTGGTCTTATTAGCTTAAATGCTGTCTTTGAGAAAGCTCATCGTACGTGACATCGCCGCGAATGAGATAGTTGTTTCGTTCCATGGCAACAGCGAGCTCTTCTTGGTGATTATCAAGTAGACCGGTGTTGGGCACGACTATTAGTGGGATTTGATACCGAAGGGCTTCGAGAATCGAGCCAGAACCTGGAAGAATTAGTCTATGACTGTGTCTAATTGATGTATACACCCAGTACCAGCATGCGAGATGACCAAGCCATTGGACCTCTGAACAAGCTGAAACTGTGCTTGAAGTCCGTCTGGGCTGAAATCGATGCCATCTACGATCAAGTCTCGCTGTTCTTGGCTGCTTTGCAAGTGGGCGCGAGCATCGCTGGAGCATTTTGTATAAATGTCCCTAGCTGATCCATATTGGACTAGCAGATGTGTGAATCCACCTTGTCGTAAAGCATCTAGACTTGAGGGACTGAGTACGGATTCAATAAGAGCAGTAAATGGAGCGGTAGCTCCAGTAGTGACGAAGCAGAGTTTCGAGTCAGGTGTCCACTTCCAGTTGTCGGCCATGGTGACGACGATGTAGGTTTAGATTACTAGTATCAGGCTTCTCTGCTGAGAGTATTACCCAAAATACAGACCAACGATGTGTTAGAGTTGATGATCAAAACATGCGGGGGCACCGTAGCCATGAAAGCGGAGGTCGGGCTGTCTTCGCTTCAATTGGTCCGGCGCGCGGTGGCACTTTGCTTCCACTGCCAAGCAATCCCGCATCGCGAAAAGTCGACGACGGCATCACCACTAACCCGCACCCAATGGCGTCGACAACACGAAGGCTGCTCTTGCAGTCAAGGCAATGCCCGTCGCGGATACGACCTCGAGCAGCACCAAGGCGCACGACCACACAATGGCAGCGCCCGCTGTCCACAACACCTCGACGATATGCCAATGAGCCCACCAAAGAGGGCTCTGCCACTTCGGCGAATGCAAAGCCACCGACGGAAACGCTTGATGAACTCAGCCCGGAATTGAGCTTTTCAAATACGACTCCCACGAAAGATTTCAAGGAAATGTCTCAGGCCGAGCGTGACGCGGCCATGTTAGATAATCTCCGGGCTTCACTAGCAGAAATCGATCCAAGCGTTGTCGCCGACGCTCTTCGCAAGGGAAAACGAGGACTACCTCAGACGCAAGACTTTGGCCTGGAAACAGACGAGGACTTTGACATTGAAGAGGATGACAAGAGGAAAGCATCAATGGGATTCTGGGCCGAAGGAGAAGAAAGCATGGGACCAGATGAGGATTACTATGGTGATGACCTGACGAGCCACGGCCACGGTGAATTGCAACAGCACAGGGAATTAAGGGAGTACGCTCGATTGATAGCCTGGGAGCTACCACTTCTTAGTCGTACGTCACATCTACTCCTAAAAGCCTACTTGATACTAACCAAATCCCCCCAGATCTCGCCCAACCCTTCACCCCGCCAACATCAGCCACCCCCTTCCGCTTCCGCTACACCTCCTACCTCGGCGAATCCCACCCCGCCGCCAACAAAGTCGTTGTCGAATTCTCACCCTCAGACCTCACCCAATCGCACTCTCTAACCGCCCCGCAAGTCTCCAAGCTCATCAAGCTAGCTGGCCCCCGCTACAACCCCTCCACAAACATCATCAAGCTCTCCTGCGAAAAATTCGACACACAGCCTCAAAACAAGCGTTTCCTCGGTGAAACCATCTCTTCCTTGATCGCTGAAGCGAAAGATTCCAAAGACATGTTTGAAGATGTGCCATTTGACTTTCGCCACCACACCCCCAAGAAGAGGCACGAATTCCCCAAAGAATGGGTGCTGACGCAGGAGAGGAAAAAATATCTCGAGGAGAAGAGACGCCAAGTTGCGTATTTGGAGGATCAGCGTGCAGGAAATGGGGAGTTGGTGGATGGAAAGAGGATTGTCGAGACAAGTTTGCCGTTTACGGAGGGAGTCGCGGAACCCGTCATGGTTGGGGCGGCGAGGAAGCAAGTGAGGTAGTTTGAGATGGTGATGGACTCGGGGGGAGCAAGTGTACACAATAACTACCATGTACTACATCTTGTAAAAGGCAAAAAAAGACGATTGCAATTGACAAAACTTGTTCATTCTCACGTGTATTATTTCCCCCCCGCTTCTCTCTCCCTTTCTCTGCTTCTTACTTCGCACACTACGGACGCGCCGTGGCGCACTTGTATACATGTGATGATGGCCTAGCGGCAATCGTAATAGCCAAAAAAAAGAATGCGACTTAGATTCGTATATTTTTTTCGACCCAATCCAGGGGGCGGCGGGGATAAGAGAATGGTCATGATTACAAAGGTATGTTCTAGACCATGTTATTTGGAAACTTCGTCTCTCTCAACAAGAGAAGAAGAAGAAGATGGAAAAAATGAAGCTCGTATGGACCGTGGAATGTGGTACAGGGGTGATCTCGCAGCAACGAGCAAAACAAGGAAACAGAAAAAAAAAGAAGACACCATTGGGTATATCTAAACCCTGCAACACCTCGAGTGGAAGACTCGGAAAGAAAAAAAACGCCAATGACGCCCCCACCCGATCCATTGTTCCTCAATGGCTCTGTACTAGTACATGGATTTTGGAAAGGAAAAAAAAGGATACGTGGTTGCTGTCTTCGAGACAGGTAGGGTAGTAGCGGCTTGCCTTGCTGGAAACAGTCGATGATTGATTCAACTTGGTGCAGAGTAGTGATGTTCAATGTCCAATACACAGTGTTGATCGCTGGCTCAGCCAACTGGTCCAGTACTCGGGCGCGTCTTCTTCCTGCCCTTAGGCGCCGGCGTGTCACCTTCTTCGCGCTTGCGTTTGGTGGGCCGACTGCTCCCACCCTTGGGCCGGTAGGCTGTGTCGTCGTCTCCGCCGCCAGTCTTCCGCCGTCCCTTTGCGGTCTCTGGCGCGGCTGAGTCTTCGTCGTCGTGGTGGTCGCGTGGGCCTGGGGTACCTATAGCTGACTCTCGTTTGGCCTTTGCGCTCGCCTTTGTTGCCTTTGGGGCTGCCGACTTCTCTGAGAGGTTCTCGTGGTGTGCGCCATCCTTGTCCTGCAAAAAGACTTGGGGCTGGTGCTTGCGCAGCCAGTTGTAGACGCTGTCAGGATTGCGAACAGTAAGGTCCTTTTCGCTGAGAGGTGGCTGGGCTGAGGCGAGGCGGATGGGACGGCCGTGTTGCAGGGACTGGTCGAAGCCGGGCTGCTCGAGAAGTTGATCGGTGGCCAGCAGGTACTCGTCCTCGTGGGTGGGCGACATGTAACCGGGAGCATGCTCGCTGAGGTCGACGCCGGGGACTGGGTGTTCGGCAAAGTCCTGGCGGGTGGTGTGAGGGACCTTATGCTCAAGGCTGGCGAGCGACTTGAGCGTATGGTGTATCGACTGCGACGAGTGCAGTTGGTCGGCGCGCGTGGCATATTGCTCGGGCGTGATGATTCCGCGGGCGAGGTCGTCTCTCAGGGCCTGCAGCTGCTGCTTGATGACTTGGGGACCGGGGCCCGACTCGAGTGAAGGCACGGCGGTGTCTGCGGGGGACAGGCTGCGCAGGTCGAAGCGCAGACGGGAGTTGACGCGCGTCTGGTCGTTGAGCTCGAGGAGAATATCCAGCAGCTGGTCGTTGTTCTCTTGGAGGCGGCGCGCGGTACCCATGGCCTTCCACTCGTGCTTGATGAGGTTGTCGCTCTCCGTCATAGCCTCGTCGAACTTGATGCGCATCTTGCGATACTTGCGTCTTTGGGAGCATGGTTAGCTGATGGGTCCTCGATATGTGATGGCGCGTCCTTTACCTCCACGATCGCTTGACGGGTCTGTGTGTAGCATCGGCGGCGTCAGTCTGGTGTTGCTCCTGCACGGGATTGGTGGCGGTGGTAGTCGTGGTAGCAGTGGCAGCAGTGGCAGCAGTGGCAGTGGTGTCATTGGCGTCGCTGGCCGCAGCAGGTGGATGAGAAGCCATGGTGGGCGGCGGGTTGGGGATGGGGAGGTGAAGGAGAGGCGGGAGATGGACGGTGCTGGGCGAGGGCTGGTGGGCGACGAGGGCGCGTGTGTTCTAGAGGGCCATGGTTGCGCGCGGTGCACGGCCGCGGTGGTTGTGAGCAACACACGGCCTCTGGGAGCATCAGGTGGATCTGGCTCCTCCTTTACTACTGCTACTGCTACTGCTACTACTGCTGGTCACGGAAAAGCATCATTCACCCTCGCTGCCACCATTGCCTCCCATCACCTCTTCTCTCTCCATCTCGCCACCTGCTCTCCCTGCGTCTGATCAGCCTCGCCCTACAAGCTCGGACAAAGACCGGGAGGGTGTTGCATTGCCAGAAGACCCTGAAAGTCCCGCCTGCCGCTTTGCTCCTTCTGGACCATTTCCGCCAGGTCACTACGACTGCGATCACAACCACGACAACCACTGTCCCGACTGCTGCTGGTGCGGGTGCTTGTATTGCTACTGCTGTCACTACTCCTATTCCTCCTTCTCCTTCTTCTAGTCTTCCTGTCAAGCCGACCCGTATATCTTCACTCAGCCACCGGGCCTCTGATCCGCTCTACCATCCATTATCCACCACCCCTTCACCCTCCCCGCCCGTCCGCCCGCTACCGCTACCGTTACTACTGCATACATACATCAATACCGCCAAACTGTCGTCCATACTTCTCAACCCCACATCTCGTCTCAAGTTCGCTGGCGATCCCCGGCCCCGCCAATCGCCCTCGACATCTGCCTACTCCAACATGTCGCTGCAACCCTCAAACTCAAAGGACGCGCGACGCCGACGTAGCAGTAGTCTTGTCTACAAGGAACCTCCGGAGTCGCTTGAGCAGCTGAGCGACCAGTCGGCACTACCTAATCTCAACGTCGAATGGGTCAATGCAAAGGGTGAGCCACCACAGCCATGTACAATGCGACCTCTTGGCTGACTCTCGCAGGTGCATGGGCTATCCACTTTGTCCTCATCTTCTTCGGCAAGATCTTGTTTGATATCATCCCAGGCATGTCGCAGGAAGCCTCCTGGACCCTCGTCAATCTCTCATACGTGGCCGGCTCCTACCTCATGTTCCACTACGTCCGCGGTGTCCCCTTTGACTTCAACTCGGGTGCCTATGACAACCTCAACATGTGGGAGCAGATCGACAACGGCGACCAGTATACCCCGGCCAAGAAGTTCCTTCTCAGTGTCCCCATCCTGTTGTTCCTTGTCAGCACCCACTATACCAATTACGGCTTGACATATTTCCTCATCAACTGCTTCGCCACCATCGCAGTAGTTATTCCCAAGCTGCCTTCGGTATGTTTGTCCACTGCACATCCAAACGCCAGTACACTAACTCGTCGACAGCTCCACAGGATACGATTCGCTTTCTTCAACAACCCTCCCGACGACGCCTAGTCAACCCCTTTCTTTTCATATCTGCATAGGTTGCATAGGTTGCATAGGTTGTAATTTTGACTGTATTTTTAATACTACCCGCATTAGGCCATGGACAAATTGAGTAGCACTACCTCGCGGGCAGGCGGCGTTTGGGCACTGTAGGGGAAAAGGCGCTTTATTCATACAAAAGTAGCGGAATTCATCCTTCGCGGTTCTCCGCCAAGGTTGTGGCTGGTTCAGCCGTACATCGCATTCTACCTTGACCTCTCCCCCCTAGATGCTTCGTCGTGTCTGCAATGCCCCAACCAACTAGGTCAATATTTCAGCACCGCCGTGCTCGACACCGTGCAGTTGGACCTGCAATATGCGAGGTCTTCTAAATATGCATAGCGCAGTCCGAGCGCATCTTTTTAGCTAACATTCGGTCAACTGCCCGTCATCCATTACACATCATTGTTTGATTTTGAGTCTAACATGTATACATTAAATACAGACGCACCCTTCGATGCTGCCACAATCTCCGGGCCAAGGTTGCCTCTCTGCACAGAGAGCCGTTTCCAGACAGCGCACCAGTCTCTTTTAGCCATTGTATCGGTCGTCTGACGTCACCAGCACAGAGCGCGTTACCCAAGCTTCGAGCTTGCAGCCTCGCAGATTCTTTACCTCTCGCAACCTCGAATCGACCATCTTCGTCGTCTCGACTAGTATTTTCATCATGGCTTGGTCTCAGCTCGAGCCGACGGGCCCGCATGTCACATACCTAGTACTCACCTTCTTTCTAATACTCTATGCTCTCTTCTCGCTCATGATACGCAACCGGCTCCACCTTTCGGAGCCACCACTAGCCACACTTTTCGGTATTGTGAGTGTTGCACAAGCGCAAGCCACACACGAGCATTTCCTGACAGCAACCAATACAGATTGTCGGACCACGTGCCCTTGGTCTTTTGAAGCCTTATGACTGGGGCTTTTCCGTACGTGAAACAGCATCCTGTCCAACAAGCAATTAATATTGACAACTAGCAGGATGATACGATTCAAGAAACCACCCGCCTGATTGTCGGGATCCAATGTTTTGCTGTCGGCCTCGAGCTCGAGAATCGCTATCTCTCCAAAAAGAAGTATGCATTACTAGCCTTGTTAGGACCAGTCATGACTTTCGGCTGGCTCATCTGTGCCCTGCTGGTTACCATCATATTTGAGACAGACTTTGTGACGGCCATGACAATCGCTGCCTGCCTCACGCCCACAGACCCCGTCCTTGCAGCCTCTGTGCTCTCCAACAGCCAGTTCAGTACACGAGTACCGAAACGTATCAGAGATCTTCTGAGTGCGGAAAGCGGTTGCAATGATGGCGTCTCGTTTCCTTTCTTGTACATTGGCATCAGCCTGCTCCTCAAGAACACGGCTGGTGGTGTCTTGAAGAAATGGTTTCTCGTCACAATACTGTACCAGTGCGCAGTGGGTATCCTTATAGGAATTATACTCGGACACATCTTCAACCGACTCTACCGACTCTCGCATGCGCGCGAATGGATGGGCGAGGCTTCGTATCTCACATTTTATCTTCTTGCAGCCGTGTTTTCAATTGGACTGGCATCAGTCCTTGGAGTGGACGACTTCCTTGTGGCCTTTTTTGCAGGCCGTGGATTCTCTCACAGGCAAAAATCGCCCATGGCTGATACTGCTCTTCCTGTCATTATCGACATGATGATCAACTCGTCATTCTTTGTCTTCTTTGGCGCAATGATACCTTGGGAGAGTTTCCGCGCCTTTGACAACATCACACCCGCTCGGCTCATTGGCTTCCTCATCCTCATCCTTCTCTTCCGCCGCATTCCCATCGTCTTCATTCTCTTCCAGGCAAATTTGTTGCCATTTGTCAAGACGACAACCGAAGCTCTCTTTGTCGGTCACTTTGGACCTATGGGTGTTGGAGCACTCTTCCTCGCTATCGAGGCGCGTGCACAGCTTGAAACTGGCACTTCTTTACCTTTGCCCAACCCACCAAACGATCTCCCGATCGAGAGGCAGAGAACGGTCACCTTAATCTGGCCAATTGTCTGTTTTGTTGTGCTCGGCAGCACAGTGGTACATGGCTTCAGTACGCTTGCTGTCAGTATCGGAGGCCATTTTGCGCGCAAAGAGGGCGAGCGGGCTCCACTGATAGGAGCCGAAAGCGAGGGATTACATGGCATGGTTCATGATCAAGAAGACGAAACCGAGGTTGAAGATATTGATGAGTAGGTGGTTCGTTGAGACGAGCTATGCATATGCCATGTACAAGAGTCTGCCGTGTTCGATGCACATCGTGTGAGATCTGTCTATTGGCTTGTAGGAAATGGGTGTGCAGTTGTAGTCTAGATCTGTTACGTCAGATTGGAAATGCGGTTGAATAACAATATGGAGTAATGGAACAGTATCAGTATCCACTGTAGATTGATGCCCTTTTCGGATATGATCGCCTCATCGTGTCCAAGACTTTCCTAATGCGGTATAGGACATTTGCGCTGTTTATTCCCGTCGAATGTCTGGTTTGGCCACCAACCCTCCTACCAACACCAATTTATCGAGATGGCTGGCAAGGACTTGGGAGAGCATGCGGTGCCTCATGCATCGCCCAATACTGCTTCTTACAAACGCAAATTTGTTACGGGTGCAGTGCTTGGTTTAGCAGCTCTAGCATTGCTTAGAAACTGTACCACCACACCGACATCAACATGGAACTTTCTCTTGAATCCGAGCAAATCTAGACTGGATTCGCAATGTCACCAAGCTGAACCTCTTTTTCCTTCCAGAAAAACGAAAGAGTTGGATGATATGGAGAGCTATCTGACCTCTGACGACTTCCGCAATGTTGCTATCGAGCGCTTATCAGGCGCTGTGAAGATCCCCACCCAGAGCTACGATGATATGGGCGACATCGGCGCGGACCCCCGATGGGACATTTTCTATTCGTTTGCAGAATATCTCAGCAAGACCTATCCACTGGCGCATGCGACACTTCAGCTCGAAAAAGTAAACACGCATGGCTTGCTGTACACATGGACTGGCACCAATCCCAGCTTGAAGCCCAACTTGCTCATGGCGCATCAAGATGTCGTGCCTGTCCCGGATTCAACTCTCAAGCAATGGACGTACCCGCCTTTCTCAGGACACTACGATGGAAAATTTGTATGGGGAAGAGGTGCAAGTGACTGCAAGAACCAGCTCATGGCTATCCTGAATGCTGTTGAGGCACTCATTGCTGCCGACTTTACGCCTCAACGAACACTAATCTTGTCTTTTGGCTTTGACGAGGAGATTTCTGGTGGAGAGGGGGCAAAGCATCTCTCAGCCTACCTGTTGAAGAAACTGGGACACAATTCAATCGCTGCTATCGTCGACGAGGGCGCGGTAAATATCGAAAGCTGGGGCGCCAACTTTGCCATTCCAGGTGTTGCAGAGAAGGGCTATGTTGATGTTGACATTGTTGTTCGCATGCCTGGTGGCCATAGTAGCATCCCCCCTCCGCACAACGGGATTGGGGTTGCCAGTGAACTTATTACCCTGATTGAAGCGAACCGCTATGAACCACATCTCGCGGACGAGAACCCATACCTAGGCCTTCTCCAATGTGGCGAAACGTACGCACCCGATTTCCCACAGCAGCTGGGAAAGCTCCTGGACAAGCGCTCCCGACGCCATGCAACCTGTAGCAAGAAAGACGACCTCGCCCTCGAAGCCGCCAAAGCAGGACCCGGAATAAAATACCTCTTTACAACCTCCGTCGCTGTCGACATCATCCACGGAGGCGTCAAAACCAACGCACTACCCGAGCGCACCCAGTTCACGGTGAATCACCGTATCAACGTCGGCTCTACCTCCTCCGAAATCAAATCCCACATTTCCTCCTTGGCCACCCAGGTAGCTGAAAAGTACAACCTCACACTCCACGCGTTCACCGGCGAAGAAACACCCTCCAGTATCTCTCTTTCCCACGGTCCCACCATCTTGGAACCCGCACCCATAACTCCGACATCGCTTGTTCAATCTTCTTCTAACGCTTCGGTCTCGACTACTACAACTCCTTTTGCCCTTCTCGCAGGTACTACGCGCGCACTGTATGGCCGCGATCTGATTGTCAGTCCGGGTCTTATGACGGGGAATACGGATACAAGGTTCTACTGGGATTTGAGCGAGCATATTTTCCGCTACGGGCCCGGTTGGGATAAGGAGCAGGTTGGCTTGGGGAATATTCATACGGTGGATGAGAAGGTCGGGATTACGGCGCATTTGGATACTGTGAAGTGGATGGTGGGGTGGATTAGGAATGTGGATGAGGCGGCTATTTAGGGGGTTGGGAGAGTGGGTTGTGGGTGATCAGGGGGTACGATGAGTTACTGTGCTGCGTCATTTTACAGTATGTGAACTGTAATCATTAGATAGCTACCATGTCTCATGTGTAGATGAAGTAACGAATTCTTGAAAATACAACTGTGTCTAGTTGCATACAGTCGACTGTTCCTCATATATACACATCAATCAAGCCCATCGTATGACTTACATCTGAAAAGACTACTCACTCATCAATGTGGCTCAACCGGATTCCCTTCCGCATCCGTATACGCAGGCGGCTTCGGCATCGCCGCCCTCCTCGCCTTCTCCCAAGCGCTGACTCTCCTCTGCAACTCCTCCAACAACCTCTTACACCTAGCACGCTTGAACTTTTCCAAATCCGGCCACTCGCACTGCCGATATATCGCTTTCGCCTCCTGTATTCCCTCCCGTTAGAAACGAAAATCGCAACCTTTTCCCAACCACCCCCAGCTCCAACAACATAAATAGAGTAAACTCACATCGGCAAAAACCTGAAACTCCCTATGCCCCCTCGCATGCCAAATCTCCCAAACCAGCAAGCCAGGATTAAACGGCACAGGCAACAACTCCAACTCCATCAAATCCCTCGCTAACCCATCGAAATACTCCGTCGCAGGCACCGGTCTCGCAGTCCGCCACTGCTCATCTTCCGGTACTTCGTCGACAGGTCTCGTGATAGAATTCGAGTGAGGCGTAACCTCGCCTTTTCCCCCTCAATCGCTTCATTAGTCCTAGGAAATATATACACCACACCACCGCATACTCCGGAAAGCCAAAGGGGCAAATAAAAAAAAGGGGAGGAACGCACCAGTATTCGTATCAACCATCCACCACACACCCCCCGGATCCCCTTGCAACGGCCAAGAAATCGGTACCACACCCTGCGGAATTTTCTCCTCGGGCAGCGGCCAAAGGCCCACCGCATGCGCATCGTTCACGTCAAAGTTTTCGTCGGTGTAGTCGGAGAAGAGGGTGGTGGTGTAGGCGATGGGGGTGGTGCCGGGGTATACGGGACGCGTAGCTGAGGTGATGAGGGGGAGGTGGCTGATTAGGTCGAGCATGGTGGGAGTGAAGCCTAGGCGCTGGAGCTGGGGGAGGGGGAGGGATGAGGGGGGGTGGCCGGTGGGTGGGGCGAGGTGGATGTGCAAGGGGTGGATGGAGACGGTTTTGGAGAGGAGGGTGTAGTAGTTGGTTAGGCTTGTGATTAGTGCCGTGCGGTTGTAGCCGGTGTTTAGGGGTGGAGGTTGTTGTGGTGGTGGTGGGGGGTCTGGGTCGGACATTGTGCTGGTTGGGGGGTGAGGAGTGAGATGGAGAGTAGGTGTTTGGGGGGAAAGGGAGTTGAAGTTGATTATATGTCGCTTAGTAGGGAAATTTCTTGGGACCTCGGTTTATTGGCTTGGAAGTTTCATTTTCCAGAATGGATACTTGGGGGCCGGATCCTGGCGAGCAGGACAGGGATGGAGGGGAGATGTGATGGTGGTGGAAAAGATAAACGACGTCATATTTCAAACAAATATCTTCGAGCGTAAGTTGGCTAGGAAACACTCAGATATCACATCACATGCTCGATGATTGCTTACAGAATTTCTAAAGATCCGAGCTACATAAGAAACATACAAATAGAATCTCTGGATATATACAATGTAACCCACTTACTCATACCGATAATGCGGATGTCTAGGCGCAGGCGTAATAACCGACACATCCGCCTCCTGCACTCTCACCGGCGTGGCCTTTGCCTCAACCACCGCACTCCCATCCGTCGGCGTAGCCTCCGCCCGCACCGCCACCGGCGCCTCTTGCGTCTCCTGCACAACCGGCAACGACGCAAACCCCAGTTCCTCCATCTCCCTCTGACAATACCTCTCCTCGCACTTCAACAGGCCCAACTCGCCAAACAACTCCTCCTCGGTCGGTTTCCTCGTCGAATTCCCTTCGTGGATAACAAGCTCATTCGGCGACCGCTTGAATTTGTCTAGATCGTCTAATGCACTGCGGCCACCAGGGAACGTGGGGTCATTGTCTTCGTCGTCGCTTGGTGCATCGGGCATGTCGTCATCTGAGTCTGGGTCTGGAGTGTTATTTCCACCACCGCCGTTGTTTCCACCACCACCACCACCGACGTTGTTTGCCCTCGGTTTCGTCCAGCCCCAGGTGGGCTGATTGACCTTCCCATTTGTAAACTGCGCCAACGGTGCCTGATTATAGTACTGCGTGAACTGGCCTCTATTGTTGCCGCGGGCGTACCAGGGGTCGTCTGTCAAAAGGGCGAAGCCTGGGTCGTTTACCAGTGTCTCGGGCCAGCATAGATTGGCTGTCATGCCAAAATCAGGAGGCATGTTTTGCATGTTATTAAAGTTGATGCTCATCACTACTTCCATTTTACGATAGGTTTTTTGCCAGACGTCGCGGGTGCTGCCGCAGGCTAGGACGGTCGTGGTGATGGATCTTTCTCTGACGAATTCTTCTTCTTCTGCATCGGGACAGCCCGCGAAGAGATGAGCTGCTGCGGCGTTGTCCGCACGGGGAATGAGGCGAATCCAGACACTGTCGTCGCGGGCTTGCCAGATTGCAGCGCCGGGATATTCGTCGCGTTGGCATTCGAGGTCTGCAGAACGAAGCCAGCCGCTGCTCCAGTGGGTGTTGTGCTGTTGGTTGTATTCGTCGACTTGGGGTCGTGCTGGGCGAGGGTGCTTGAAAGACGGGCAGGTCAGACGCGCGAGATCAGGTCGCCGGTTGATGATGGAGCTGTAGTTGTAGCAGGCCTGCTTTGCTCTCGCGCCATTGCATACTTTGTGGGTGACTCTTACACCGGGCGGGTCATATGTATTTGTCAACCACTCAGTGCGAGGTCTCAAGTCTCTGGCTGCCAGCCTCTTCGTCCTGCAAGTCTTTGGCCTGTCAGAAGCTTTGGTCGGTGAACTGGATGCCGGCCGGTCGACCTTGCTTGTAAGAGGCTTGTCGACTTTGACTTCGTAGTCTTTCCCCTTGAAATTGAAGACTGATTTGCCGGCTTTGGCGACTCCTTTGGCGCAGACATTGACCAATGCTGGCATTGCAACCTGAAGGGCGATAGAGGCTATCCAGCCTACAAACGGAATGATACGTAGAGGTAGCGTTGCAGCCATGATTGCAACACGACAAAAGGCCTTTGCTGCTATTTCCATTGCAAGAGTTTCGGCAGCTGCAAGAGCAAGGTCAGCAGCTTCGTCCTTGATCTTTTCGCTGACTTGTTCTTTTGAAATAGGAGGCTTGAATCCAGAGCAGCAGTAGCTCTGTGTGCCTCCCGTACATGTTTGATCTTCGTTCTTGTCGACATGGTTGGTGTTGGTAGTAACCTCAGTCTCATCGCCGTGACAACCACCTGTGCAAGATAGTCCCAAGCCACGAAAGCCTCGCCATTTGCAGGTTCCCATAGTGACACCTTTGGAACAGCAAAGACGACGAACCTGATCTTTGGGACAACGAGTCATGGTAGACAACAAACCAGGTTGCCCCCTCATTTGCGCAGCTTCGTAGTCGCCGTTGCGGCATTTATCGTTGCACATAGTTGTGTAACAGACACCCTTTGCAGCTGCATCTTGATACATGGCTTCTGCTTCCTCCATTTCTTCTGGTGATAAACTGCCTCCAATTGCAGTATCCTGATCTATCTGATCAAGAGCCCAAATCATCATGCCACCAAGACAGCGAGACGCTCCAAACTCACGCTTCTGCATTAGTGTCTCGTCATCGTCGTAGGAAACCCACTGGTCATCATCCCAGTGGATCCACTTCACTCCAGCCTTTTTGTCGTGTGTCGGCTTGAGTTTCTTGTCGTCGATGATGTCGAAGATTTCTTGAAGATTTAGGATACCAGATGCCCGAGAGCAGCGGCCGGCTTTGGCACCGCCGGAGAACTGGCACACGCCGTTGGGTTCGTTGCATTTTGGATCAGTAAGAGTGAAGGAGCGACCGTACACTAATTGGAATTAGCTTATAGTGTCGATGGAAATATTCTTGCAATATGTGTACTCACATCCCTGACCGAGGACGACATTCTCGGGCTTGACACCTGCTCTCCAAAGGAGATCGAGACCAAGATCAATCTCCGTCAGGTTCGTATGAGTGGCGACGTAGGGGCCAACAAATTTTGACGCTGCATCCCAGGTACCATGTAGATCGTATGACATGAGATTGAACCAGTGGACGTATGGCTGCAGTTTTGCAAGGTCGAAATGCTGCAAGTACCAGTATGACGCGGGTAGTGTGAGGGAATAGCCATATCCCTTCTTTTCAAAGGCGTTGTATATGTCCCGGGAGAGAAGAACAAAGTTTGCTTTGTCTTCGGGCTTACCGCCACGGTCATCTGCGGTTGGGTATTCCCAGTCCATATCCATACCTGTCAATGGTTAACTGATATGTCTTGGATCCTGGATTATATCTCCTCAAATAATTTTCGACGTACCATCGAACCCGTAAGTTTCCATGAACTTGATCAAGTTGTCAATAAACTTTTTGCGGTTGGCAGCAGTACTCGACATGATACTAAAGGCTTGCTGATACTTCCCAGCTATAGTGAGATATACTAGTCAGCGTAAAATTATTGAATTATAGCTTATATTACTTACGATCATTGAAAGACCATCCGCCAACACTAACCCAAGTTTCTAGTCCGGGCTTCCTCTCTTTGAGCTTCGTGAAGCGGCTAATCAGTGAACCAGCATTCCTGTCCATTGGTGTGAGTTCAAAAGTGTCCGGCTCAAAAAACATGAACGCAAAGTTGATGTGTGTTAGGCCCTGGAGGTTGAGCTGCTCCGGCGCCACTGCGCTGCAAGGCCTTGTGTTGGCCCAAGTTTCATAGTAACCAATGGAACGCTTGTTGACTATAGCGAGTAGAACCTTATTAGAACATATATGGAAATTTGGAGTTAAATTATCTTACCACTTGTGCCATCTTTGCTACACGAAGGACGTTTTGGAGGGCCGCAGCCTCCAAAGTCCTTCTGGCAGCCTCTGTCGACGTCGCAGAAATCGTCGGTCGAACCACAGAATCTAGAGTCTCGGTAAGTCTCATACTGAGTTAAAACGTATGATGCTTTTACCCAAACTTGGAGCAACAAACACCCAAGGGACATGTCTGCTTTCCAGGAACGCCGTACTGGCCGCATTCGGCTTTGGCATCGCAGTTGGAGGTACAGTTACCAACACCGCACTCGGACGGGGAGTAACCACAGAGTCCAGAGACCTTTTACTAGTAAGCTAGAAGATCGAGTAACAGCATAGTCAACAAGACTCAATAGGGATTTAGACGTACGCCGCTGCAACAAGCCCCATTGACGCAAGGTGTTTGGGCGTTACAGGTACCAACTGGAAGTTCCAGCAGCTCCGCAGAGACATCAGATCCGAGCACAGAAAATGCAGAATTGAGCAGAAAATTTGCTTCAATCCCAGATTCAGCCTTGACACGTTCAATAGCCTCACTAACGTTGAAGTGGTTTGACGTCCTGTTCGTCGGGACGAAGGAAGTATTCGACTCGACCGCAAAAGATAGAGCCGGCCATAAAAGCAAGCTAAGCAAAGAAGCCCGCATGACTCGGGATCAGGGACGTCTGGAACGAGAGAAAGGAGGAGTGCCCATTCGACAACTTCTGCTGTACCCAAGTCTTATGAATAAGAAGAACAGTAGATGTTAACCGGATATGAAATGCGCCACAAATGCCTGGCTACTGACCAGGACCACATCCTACGCTCCATCAATCTTTGCCAAGTATAGCCTGTGCAGCTCAGTCTGACCACCTCCAATCCTCATACCGAGGAGTAACGGTTATCACGCGCGCTTCGCTTGGAGACATGCAGATTCCCTCGGCAACTCGCATATACCGGAACTTGAATAACAAAAGGCCAAGTTTATCGTCTCCGTCCTCGCATACAAGTTATCAGAGTTACGCCCCGCCGAGACGTTACTTCTTGGGTTCCATCGAACCATATGACCTGGAAAATCAGCTGGTCAGCCTTGTCTTATCCCTTAAGGCCATCAACGGTAGTTTAGCACAAGGATATGCTAAGAAACCAAGACCCTGAAAAAGCGGATGTCAATAAATAGATCAGTAGATATACAGCTGTTCCTGCAGCGGCAGAGGTCAGATCCTTCGGTGATCCACGTGCCACTGACTGCAGGAACCATAGACTTAGCCACAACCGGCCGGGCGGCCAAGATACACCTATTAGCCCGAAAGAGTAAAGCAGCGGACGGCCCGTGTTGTTGCCGCTTGTTCCGAGCTGGGAGTCCTCCTTAAGGTAGCATCTCGCGACCCTGTTGAAATTAGTTGGCCCACCGAAACCCGCATCCTTGCGCTCGGAGACGCTAAAACCCTTTGGTAATCCCTTGGCGAGGCCACCAGTACACTGCATAGCAATCTAAGGAATTTGAATCTTATTGAATTGGAAGAAAAATAGCTGTTTGGGGAAAAACCTAGTAGCTGGGCAAGCTTGGAATGGTGAAGGCTGAACAGATGCCGAGACACTCTTCTCCTACGCGATGTGGCACACGGAATGGCGATAGAACCAGGATAAACGACGCATGTAAGCCGCTCGGCTGTGGCGCGTAGAGCTTTCTGGTGAATGCCATGTGAAATTGTGGGTTCTGGAGTTGGTGTAGGAAGAGGACGCGTGATATCAAAGTCAGTGCCTCAAAGTCCTAATACCTTGAGGATCCTCCATTTGGCATTTGATTCCTCGACTGCCGGATGCTTTCTACAGAAGTGTCACTCTTATGAAAGTAGATTCATACTCATGACTTCTTTGAAATCCCTCTCGATCGTACTTTCCATTGGCTTGGTACAGTACGCTTCTGCTTTCACACTATGGCCATTGGTAGATCCTCAGGGGCTCTCCGGCGTTCTTAACATTTCTACCACATGTATTGCTGCCTTGTAAGTCATCTGACTCTGGATTGACTCTATCTCAATCGCTTTCATAACTAAATGCTAAGTATGAGATAGGAACACAACATTAGATTGTGAACCGAACCTGTTTCAATGGACTTCCAACGTGGACAACATCTACTGGAGCTCAAGCAACGCATCTGATCTCTGTACCACAAGGTGTATTGAATCTAGTCGTAAATGGGTTGATGAAGTTGGCGGGTCCTGTGACGGCGAGTTCCTCCGCTCAGGAGATCGTGAAGTTGACGCGGAAACGCTTGCAACCCGGTTCGTCGCTGGTCTTGACATTGCATGTCTAAAGTCCTCCTCCAACCAATGGTGCTTTGTTGAGTCTCAAGAATGGGTTGGCTCCGATGTCATCCGACCAGACTGCAATGCCGACCCTTCTGACCCCTGGTGCATCAATCCAGCCAATGTATCCGCCGAAAACAGTCGCATGGCCAACATCTACGACGATGACCTCCTATGCTCAGAATGCTTTTTGAAGCTGATGCATGCTCGCATCTCATCGGAGTTTCTGCCTGACGAAGACCACTCCGACTACCTTGTTCAGGAGTTCCAGGACATCCAGAATGTCTGCCAAACCACTATTGCAGCCAACATAGCGACGAGATCACTACCAAACTACATGGTCGTCCTGACTCCAACGCCATCGTTTGTGGAAGGACCGGGAGAAGTTTTCGAGCCAGAACCAGAAGCAACTCAGATGTCCTGCGCGGCAGATCAGATAGTCATCAATGTCATGGGCACTACGTCCAACAACAGCATGCAAGCTTGCAATGACATTGCACGCCAGTACAACGTGTCGACTGGGAGTCTCGTATATCTCACCCAAAACGAGGCCTGCTACGTTGAAGATCAAGAGATCTGTGGTCCTCGCGGTTGCTCGCTTTTCCACGTAACCAAAGGCCAAACCTGGTATGTCTACACTGCCACCCCTTTCTCCCAACATACATTTTTGTAACAAATCATCACAAACTCTAACATCTTCCCAGCACCTCCATTGCAGCCGCCGTGTCCGAAGGCACCAACCCCATCAACGGCGCCCAACTAGCAACCTGGAATCCCAACATCCTAGGCGCCTGCGACCACCTCGTCGAAGACCAATACATCTGCGTCTCGTAAGTCACAACCCCCCTCCCCTTCCACCATCCCAACTAACCCACTCTCACCAGCCGCCCCGGCGGCTCCTACATCCCCCCCTCCAACTCCAGCCTCCCAGACGACAACGACGGCCCCATCCGCGGCGGCCCCGGCAGCACCCCCACCCTCGAAATCATCGACAACCCTTCCACCCCGATCTCGCCCTGGCTCCTGCACGAAGGCACCCCCAAAGAATGTACCCGCTACGTCCTCGTCAGCGCCGGCGCAAACTGCTGGAAAGTCGCCAACGACGCCCGCATAACGCAACCGCGGCTCTTCGAACTAAATCCCGTACTCGGTCCCACCGGTGAATTCTGCAATACAATGATTTGGAAGGATTATTATTACTGTGTTGGGGTGAATGGGGAGGGCGCTCCGATTACTACTTCGCGTCCCGCAACTGGTACTCTGTCGAGTGCTACTCGTACCTCGACCACGGAAAGTGTACCCAAACCGACAAATACGCAAGCAGGCCAGCCTGCTTCTTGCAATAAATGGCACACAACTGGCGATGGGGCGAGCTGCTGGGCCATCATCACCGACTCAGGCGTCGCAGCATCGGATTTCTATGCTTGGAACCCGGTTCTGGGGTCGCAGGGCGAAAACTGCGGTACGCAGATTTGGCCAGGGTATTCATATTGTATTGGTGTTTCGGCTGTGGCTGCACCTACTCCTACTGCCTCTGCGTCTCGCACTTCGACGACGTCGGCGCCGAGTACGACGGGTCCGGCTAAGCCGAGTGAGACGCAAGCGGGGATCGTGGGGAACTGCAACAAGTTTGTACGAGCGGGTGATGGGGATGGGTGTTGGAAGCTTGCGAATGATGCAGGGATTGAGAGCGCATTGTTCTACAAGTGGAATCCAGTTGTTGGCGCCAATGGCGAGAATTGTGGGACGCAGATTTGGCCAGGGTATTATTATTGCGTTGGGGTTAGTGGATAGTAGGGTCTTTGAGTATATATTTCCTGATCCGTTGTATGTGAATAGACTCGTTCATTTCTGTGCAAAGGACCAGCCTAACCTATATAGCTCTTGATTTGAGATTTCGTTGAGGATACATGGACAAGGTCGAATCAACACTTCAGTTATATTCATGAACTTCATAATGTAGAAAAGAAAGATTTTGCTGACGATTAACCAGCATGTCATTATATTAAATGATTAAATTATTTGAAAAACGTAGTTGGTAGTTCATCAAGGGTGATGACATAAAAACCTGTGCATCCAGGCATTGTTACCCTTCTCCGGATCCTCTTTGCTCATCTCGCTGTTTGCGCGTGAAACCTGTACAAACTTGGGCCAGGTATTTGTGAGGACAAGGTACTTGATTTCTTTCTCGGCAGAATCGAAAACCATCTCGTTGAAGTTGTCTGGAATCTTGATGTCGGCCAGCGTGCCATCGAGCCAGCCTGGCTCCATGTGCGCCACAGCTCTCAGGTTGGCACGTCCAAGGTTGTCAAGGCTGATTGCGCCCTTGAGTTCCTTGATAGAATTGTTTGCGCTCTTGTCGTGAATAGGCATATCAGAAGCGTCGTCTGGATAAACATTGTCGAAAGGTGTCGCGTCGCCGCTTGACGATGATGAATGGGAGTTTCGGCGACGACCAAATAGTGCAACAGCAGCTTCTACAAAGACATGATGAAGTCGCTTCATCTCCTTGGAAGAAATGTTGATAGGAAACTCTGAAAATTCGAGAGAGATGAAATGAGCGTAGATGCGGACAGCAGCCACAAATTGATTGCGGTTGTGCTCCGCGGTCGATGATTTATGCGAAAACCATTGGCGTCGCCAATCTGCCACATGGGTAAGGAAGCTGACGTTTTCGCCTGTTGTGCGGTCAGTGCATGGTCAACTAGACAATGCGCATCGAGAGAGTACGTACCAGAGAAATCCTTCAATGCAGCAAACTCAAGGAGTGGCATAGGGTTGGTTCGGAGAGCGTTCTCCAAAGCAGTCATCGTCAAGATGTCTGACTTCGAATCAAACGACTGTTTGCTGAAGCTAGAATCACCAACGGACTGGAGGGCAGTTGATCCCGAGAACTCGCTAGGACTCTTCTTCAGCTCCTCACCAGTAGCTGCGCCCAAGTCGTTGGCCGCTTGACGCGCCTCCCAATCAGCAATAGCATCTAGTGTCTCTTGGCGAAGCTTGTTGCCTTGAAGCACATCGCGAATGGTAGATCCAATTGTGAAGACCTCTACTAGGCCGAAGCAGACAGAGAACCAAAGTGGTGGGGGAAAGACCATGTTTACAACCCCGAACTCAGGAGCGTAGAGACCAGCAAGCCATAGAGGGGATGCTGGAAGACTGCGAAAAGTCAGCAGAGTGCGTGGTGCATGGTTTAGGAAAGACATACCCCACAAGACAACAGCAAATAGTCTGCAGACGCCAACCGTGAACATCGCGGATACCCCGAGATTTGAAGAGAATCCAGGGTGCGTATATCCAAGACCAGAAGAACTGCCATACAATCGATAGCCACCACTCCCACCCTTTGCTGCAGTTCATGCGTACTTCCATGCCGGTGCCTTTGACCGTGTAGTCGATGATACCGTAGTTGTAGTGGAACTTCCTTGAAGCGAAGAAAACAAAGACGACAAGTGCTAACTGGTCAGTGTTAGATGGAAATTCTTTCGGCTACGTGTTGACAATCTTACTTGGAAAGCCATGCCAATTCCAATGAAAATGAGTGTTCGTTTGATCTTGTCAGCGCGCTCAAGTCCCTGTGCGATTCTTCGCCATCGGCTATTGGCAACCTCTTGCGCCGCCTTCTCGTCGATTGGCGCATGGTCCTTGAGCGAGCTCATGCGAGCAAACTGCTTTTGACGGCTGGCGATGTGCAGAAATTGACTGTTGGAAGCATGGAACAATGCTGATTGCGATTAGTATGTTACTTGCGTCCTTGGACAAGCAGGAGTACGTACCCATGCCCACTGGCACCAAGACGGACATCATCCAGAACTCTACGGAGCAACTGACGACAGGGCCAATTACGTATGCTGATTGCAAGTAAAGTCAGCTCATGCTCTCAACGTATCAAAGGCGAGTAGACTTTGGTGCAGGAAACAATCGACTTGTCATCGACAAGTTCCTATTAGGATTTGAAGGCATAATTGTCTGACTTTACTTACCAAGACAGCAGATAGAGCCGTAGACGTGCAGTGGAATAATACCAGCGAATAACAATGGCAGTCTTCGTATGCGAAGAGAGGGGTGCTGACGATGAAACCAAAGAAATACAAGACATGCGACAAAGACGACGTTCCAGGTGATGAAGATGCTGGTGTAAACCCACCCAAGGGTGTCGAGCATGACGTGGGCCTCCATCTTGTTGTGTAAGAAAATTGTACAAAGGAGTGTGTTGAGCGTCGCAATCGACGAAACTGGTAAGCAAGAGGCTATGGGAAAAGTCGTGCCTTATACGGACGCATTGCGCTGAAGGGGTGTCGCTGACAGCATTGCCATCGGCGAACCATTGCACGTAGGGGTTCAGCACACGAAAAGATCGACGACGAAACCAGCCGGCCCAATTCTTGGACACGGGAGTCGCCCGACTATGCACAAGCGACTAGCGTGGCAAAAGAGGCTTGCGAGGGAACGATATATCGTTAGTGTGTAGCTAGACACGTTACTAGAGTCGGAAGAGGCTTCGTGTATTGCGTTGAAGGGGCCAGTGCGGTGCCTGGCAGTCGAAAGTCTCCAAACAAAATAGCCGATCCTCATCTAATCGCACCATACCCCGGAGTCAGCTCCTTGTGCTTTGGTGGCTGCATTAGACGTAGATTTTTTTGGACGTTTTCGCAAGGAGCCCTGGGCTGATGTGGTTCATGGATGACCTTCGCTCCAAAACAACACTACAAGGGTCCAGCACAGGTACATGACTTTGAGTTTGTATGTCGTTTTAGAGGACGAGATACTGAAACAAATTTCCGAGCCGCATTACCTCGTCAGGCGCAGCGTGTTGTGGCGTCAACAGACATGGCCTGGCCGACCTTGAGCCGGTGTCAAAGTCGAGAGTTAGTGGACAGGAGTAACCGTTGCTATCAGCCTTCAGACGATGAATAACATGACTCGTATGACAGCTACGGCGACTGTGAGTGGTCCGGTGTCCTGGTGTTTGGAGCTATTAACATTACTACGGCACTTGGCCTGGTAGGTGTGCATCCGGCTTATGCCACATCCGCAGGGTCGCGGGAGCTTCCTGAACAGGTGTTTAGCAAAGTCTAAATGCTCTATTGGTTGCAAGTAGCAAGTCAAAGTAGAATTGGGTAAAGGAGAAGCGGCTCTGATAGTACACCTGACCTTGAGCAAAGTGATGTGCAGACAACCATGAGTGAGTGAGCAACCTAGCGGATCGACGTGATGTCAAACAGGGCCCGAGCAAACTCTAAAGTCGTAAGACAGGGAGTTCCCGGAGACGCGAGATCAGCTCCCAGGGCATTTCCGTGTCTATAGGCCATGTGATTGCACGGGACATGGCCATGAGCACATGGGTTGCATCCCAGATTGACATAGCGGCCGGGAATAAGTTGAGGGGAAGAAGCGCCGAAGCGTACTTCAAGGCTGAAGGCTAGAAGGGCAAAAGACCAGCTCGTGAAGGCGCCACCAGGCATGTCCTCAGCTGCACACAAGGGACGGCAGCAAGTGGAAATTTGCGCTCGCGGCCATGTCCGCGCGAGCAGACAGGTGAAGAAGAGAGAAGTCGACAATGAGTGTGATCGACTGGCGGCAGCAGTCACATTGCGCAATGCGCCGCCGGCGTAGCTGTCAAAGAGTGGGCGCTGAGGTTACAGGCGCCGTCAAGTCCCTTGGGTTGGTGTCGGCGAGGTGCTGGTATTGACGAGTTGGTGACAGACTATGATTACTATACTAGCATCATAGGTTTCCGTAGTGGGCCAAGGCGGGTTTGCAAGGCGCTCAACCGTAGTTTGGTGCATGCAGGAACGTGCTATGTACACCGGTGCAGGCACATGTCTGCGTCGATACGGGACGGGATCCCCAGGAACAGGACCAGGATGCGGTATTCCGAGATGCCGTAGTGATGCCGGTGGATGGTGGATGATCAGGTTCAGCAGGCGTCACGGTCCAGCCGGGCGTTTCAGCGATGACGGTAGTGGTTCTGCCCCGCCTGCCGGCTGTCATGACTCATGCGTCACTTGCCTGCGCCACTCACTGCGCCCCGCAGTCGCCCACCAAGCCTGTCGCATTTCCTTCGCCCCCGCCACACAAGACAACCACGACGACAACAACCCAAGGAAACAACGCCAAGTCATGCCGCCCTCGCCCTGCGCTCTCTGCAGCGTCAATCGCGCGCTGATCCTGCGCCCAAAGGACCACTCCCGCTTATGCAAGACGTGCTTCATCACCGTCTTCGAAACCGAAATCCACCACACCATCACAACCAATTCCCTCTTCCACCGCGGCGAAAAAGTCGCCATTGGTGCCTCGGGCGGAAAGGACAGCACTGTACTTGCCTCCGTTCTCAAGACCCTCAACGAGCGCTACGACTATGGCCTCGACCTCATTCTCTTGTCCATTGACGAGGGAATCAAGGGCTATCGTGATGACAGCCTCGAAACCGTAAAGCGAAACGCCCAGCAGTACGACATGCCTCTGACCATCCTTGGCTACGCTGAGTTGTACGGATGGACTATGGACCAGGTTGTAGAGCAAGTTGGTAAAAAGGGAAATTGTACCTACTGCGGCGTCTTCAGACGACAAGCCCTCGATCGCGGCGCATCAAGACTCGGCGTCAAGCATGTCGTCACAGGACATAATGCTGACGATGTCGCCGAGACGGTGTTGATGAATTGTGCGTACTGCCTTGCTCACCATGTCATTGCGACCAAATACTGACCCAAACAGTGCTGCGAGGTGACCTTCCGCGTTTATCACGCACCACATCCATCGTTACGTCTACGCCATCGGCATCCTCCGACCCTGCCTCGAACACCAACATCAAGCGCAGCAAGCCTCTCAAGTACGCATACGAAAAGGAAATCGTCCTCTACGCTCACCACAAGAACCTCGATTACTTCAGCACCGAATGTATCTATTCCCCCGAAGCCTTCCGAGGCAGTGCGCGCGCTTTGATAAAGAACCTTGAACGTGTGCGCCCAAGCGCTATCCTAGACGTGGTGAGGAGCGGAGAAGACATGGCCAAACTAGTACCAGGCAGCGATGAAGGTTGCGGAGGTGCATGTTCAAGTAGTGCGCCTGTCACTGAAGAAGAAGAGGGTGGGTGTGGAAGCGCTCAAGGGCGTAGTAGCGGTGGCGAGATGGCAAGTGTCGAAGCACATCTAAGGCAGAACGAAGCCGCTGCAGATTCTAGCCTTGAGACTGAAATCACGACAAAGAGTGTTACCCGTAGTGCAAACCCACAGGGCCAACAAACCGATGGCGCTGTCCCACTTCTCAATGGCAGGAAAGCCAAGAAGGTCTACACGCCAAAGAAAACAAACAAGCAGGTCATGGGCCAGTGCAGCAAGTGTGGATATCTCTCTAGCCAAGAAGTCTGCAAAGCATGTGTTTTGCTTGAGGGACTCAATAAGGCGCGGCCAAAGAACAAGATCGAGGTTGGCTATGAGGTCCAAGACGTCAGCCTGAACAGTGTGCGCGACGAACTCGAGGCAATAACCATTGCGGGTGAATGAACCGTCTAGTATTGAATGTCCTTTCGGAAAATATGCCTGTGTCAAACCTGCCGACACACGTCCAAGACGAACGCCAGAACATTGCGCAACCTCATGACCCGTTGGAGCGGCCACCCACAGACTTTCACCAGTCACAAGATACACATCAGTCGGTTCCCGCTGTGAGCGACTGCTCACTTTCTGTGCACTAAAAACCAACAAGTGCCTTTTATGCCACGTGTATTTTGCCCTACGTGGGCTTATGGTTAAGAGGCTCGTGTGACCTATCACCTGGGTAACCTGTCAGTTGTCTTGGTCTCACCAGAGTCAACCCTCCACTACCCCGCACAAATGATCGCAGTCCCCCCGGACGCCCTGTCTCACATCGCGCTGTGACCACAGCTAATCTGCACAACGTCACTGTCGGGAAGATCGGGAAGATCGGGAATGTGGACGGCACGCATCGCTGCAGCAACGTGGTGCGATATTGACAGCATGGCCGATCAGGTATCACAGTAATACGCGCTCGGGCATAGCAGCTTTGGCGAGTGGCCAGCAGATTGACGGCTATACTCCATCCGCCTTGCATAGATGAGAGAAAAGCCACAGTCATAATAGAGTTGCTATGCTATGCAGCACTAGCGCCTTAAATGGTATCTCATTCCTATGCGTAAATCCGCTAGCCAATGCTCGCTCAAGCTAACATGTGTATCCGTAACCCCCTTAAAAAAAGCAAACCCAAGAACGCCATTCTACATGCCAATGATAGAAATACCCACCCCAAACACGATGAGTAAACGCCGCCACCATGCTCCGCCGCAGCGCGGCCCGCCTCCATCCGAAGTAACAGTAGTAGCAGTAGCAGTAGCACCGTCGGCCTGGGCAATAGCGCCGCCGACAGCACTCCTAGATAGTCACAACTCAAAGCCAAACTCTGTGTCCAAGGTCCACGGCCCCTTGACCTCAATAGTCTGCTTCTCGGCATCAAACTCGCCCGTCGCGCCCTTTTGCGCCTGTCCCAGCACCACCACCCGCGCAACTGCGACGCTCTCCGCGCCCTGCGCCTTGTACCCAAACGACCCCGTAGCACTGAACTTGCCATTATCAAACGAAAAGTTAATCTCGCTAGTGCCAGCTTGCTCGATGCTCTCGCCATCATCAAGGTACAACCGCCCCGCGGCTTTACCCTGCGCATCCGGGGCCACGAGCACGAAAAAGTCCTCGTTGCGCAGCGCCTTTGTGGTATTCGCGCTGTTGACGCGGTGCGGGATTACGCTTCCGCCGCGGATATGCACGGGGATGTCGCTGTAGGTTAGGTTACTGACTGTGACGTTTTGGCCCTGGCCCTGCACTTTGCCGTACGTCCAGTAGTCGTAGAAGACGTCGTTGGGCAGGTAGAAGATGACTGTGTCGGAGTAATCGACAGTCACGGGCGAGATGAGGAGGGCGTCGCCGTAGAACCATTGTTCTTGAATGTCAAAAGTCTTTTCGTCTTCTGGGTAGAGGAAGAAGAGCGGGTTGATCATTGGTGTGCCGTCTTGAGTCTGGTAGTAGAGGGCGGTGTAGATGTAGTCCATGAGTTTGTAGCGGGTTTCAATGGCCTTTTTGGCAGCATTGGCGACAACGGGCCATTGGTAGAATTCTTGCTGGATGGTGCTGAGTTCGGCGTGGTTGCGGTAGAAGGGCTGGAAGGCGCCCAATACGGCCCAGCGTGCGCACATGTATTGGTCTGCGTTGCCGTTGAAGCCGCACACGTCGGAGCCGACCATGGGCATCTGGTGCATGGAGACAAAGGACAGCATCTGGCGAATGGAGGTGCGGTAGTGCTCCCAGATCGAAGCGTTGTCACCGAACCAATGTGCTACTTTGCGGCCGATTCCCGCGAATGTGGAGCGGGTGAGGACAAAAGGACGAACCTTGGGACGGCGGGCGAGCATGGATTCGCGGGTCGCCGAGGCCATCATGCTGCCGTACAGGTTGTGCGTGTCGTACTGCCAGGTTCCATCGTAGTTTGTCGTGTTCATGGCAATGGTCTGCTGCGAGACCTTACCGAGATGGCTGTTGACGCGGTAAGCAGGGTCAAACCAGTTACGGTCTGGGAAACCCTTCATGCTGCCATTGGCAGATTGACGTGGAGTAATGACACCAGCAGACTGACGTGTCTTCAAGCCAGCGGGAGATTCACGAGAAAGGAGGTACTTGGAATCACGAGCCTTGACTGAGCTGTTACCAGATGAAGGCTGGAATGATGCTGGGAAGCCGGGAATAGGGCGACCGGTATTTGGGCGAGGAGCATTTCCAGGCTTTGGTGGGATACCATCATCAATGGCTTTTTGGCGCGGGTTGCAAGTCTGAGGATCCTGGCAAAAGTTGGACGCCTCGTTCATGTCGACCCAGAGTCCGTCAAGGTTAATACCGCTATCAGCATCGAACTGCTTGAGGATTTCCTGTGTCCACCACTCCTGGGTGTTGGGCGCGAACCAATCAGGCCATGCGACCTCTCCGGGCCATTGGACTCCAAGGAGATCAGTGCCATCGGCGGCTTTGAGGAAAACTTCCATTTCGTGGCCCTTCTCGTAAGGCTCATAGTTGCCAACTGCATGAACGCCAGGATCCAAGATTAGTACGTACTTCTGATCGCGCGAGTGAAGAGTTGATACCAATTCACGCATCTTTGAGAGCGGGAAACGATCAGGGTCGGTGGTAAAGTCCTCGCGAAGGTTCATGTAGTCGATATCGGTCCACATGACCTCAAGAGGAATGCCAGCAGTGGAGTAGTTGGCAACGACTTCCGCAACCATGTTGACGTCCCAGTATCCGTACTTGCACTGGTGGAAACCAAGAGTCCAGTATGGGTACATTGCAGAGTAGCCGGCAACGTCGGCGTATTGCTTGGAAACTTCAGCGGGCTTGCTTCCAGCCATGAAGTATAGGTCAATAACTCCACCGACAGTGTTGTACTCGAGGTACTGGTAACCGCTGTCGGCCTTTTTGATGTCCACTTGCATTGGGCTGGAGTTGAGCATGAAAACACCATGAGTACCCTTGCCACCACGGTGGTCAAAATACACTGGGTGAGATCCATAAAGATTGGCGTTTGTGGGAATGTTAATGGACTCGCCGTTCAAAAACACACGCTCGTATTTATCCGTGTGGAAGCGGAATGAATCGCTGTGCTCACCGAGACCGTAGATGTTTGGGTTGTCAGGGAGCTTGGTCCGAAGGCGCACGTACTGTTTCTCGAAGACCAGGGGGACGGTTTCAGTATCAAAAAGAACTTCACCACCATCTCTGCGCTTGACTGTAAAAGAAAATGGACTCTCCTTGACATCAAATTGAAGGGCTGTGCTGTCCGTTGACGCCTGTTCATGCTTTGGTCGAGGGAAGACTGATTCTTGGACCTGGAAAACCTGGAGGTCGGCATCGTAGATTTTGACGTGTAGTCGCTCATCTGATTGGTTCTTAGTATGAATGGCAACTTGATGCAGCAGCAGAACAGCGAAGACTCACTATTTTGGTACTCGACGAGCAACTTCAGATTCTTGATATCGTCGCTGTACGCATTGCAGGCGTCACCAGCGAGAGTGAGGTCGGCCGTCAAAGTAGAATCTTTCTCGACAACATTCGAGGCAGTATAGCCAGGGCAGCTATCCACTTCGGCGCGGCGAGTAAGGGTGGCAGCGAGGTCAGTAGCCTCGTGCACTAGAGGGGCCGCATTGATGAGGCTCGAGCAGGCGGCAAGCCCGAGCAAAATATGGCGTATCATCTTAGTCAACTAGGCAGTGTTCACCAAGAGTTGAGAGCCGATTGTGGGGAAGGAAGAAGAAGACCAGAGTAAGGCCGTTCACTCCAGGACTATATAATGGAGGAAAAGCTTGGAAGTGAAGGCGCTTAGGTTACCGTTCACTGTAACGGCAAAGGGTAATAAGTGAACAAGGATGTGACTGAGACCTTTGTCCACCGCTTGACCCACATCATACTTGCTCGGGCCTGCACCCAAGAAAGACCACATGATGCTTTTCCGGGGAAGGAAGCTCATGCTAGGTCACAAAATGACAGCATGCCGAAAGAGAAGAAAGGAAAACAAAAAGGGGGGTTTGTTTTGCCTCGCATCATCTCCGAATGTATGAACCAACAGTTGCCATGGAACACACACTCGCAGCATAGAACTGCGTACCTTGCGCGTTTTTTCCAGTCCCACAAAAGTAGTAATAGCAAGCAAATCAATATTACTTGCTGCTAGGATTCAGCGCGTAGATGAAACAAAACAAGATTTTTTGTATGGGTACTAGTCGCGGACTAGACATGGGGTTAACTAGAGAATCTCGACTACGATCCGGGGTCATAGGCTTTCCTACAGTTACATCAGATGGGTCTTTGCCCGTTCTGGGAATGTATCGGCGTGCGTTTTAATGCCAGCACACATGGTTGTCTTCCAATCAACGGCCATGTCACAAGGGGCAAGAGATATCCCATCAGGGGATCGACATGGAAGCGTCGGCGCCTTGGCCGGGTGGACGAAAACGCATAACATCGGATCAAGGTCCAGGGGGACCAGCAGATGATGACGCTTACACATGCGAAGTTTACAACCGCAGGGAAAACTGTAGGTCGGGTGTTCCCGAGATGCCCCCCTTCTTTTGGCATTCCAGACATCGTGAGGTGTCTTCGTGACGTTTGAGGGGGAATCTGGGCAGATCAGACGCAAGGTTCGCGTGAACGGCCTGTCTCCACTGTTCCCGCGCTAATCATCCTAGCAACATGCGGGGGGCCGAGTCACATGCCCCTCTCTCAACAGACTAGAAGGCCAACCGAGGGCGGTAGCAATCTTCTCTCTTGTCCACTCTGCTCGTTCCGCTTTACATTCTGCGTTTGATCGCACTTGGGACCTGCTACTATCGGAACATGCGTGCGTGACTAGTCATTGGAAGCCAAGTCGAAGGTGTAGGAAGGCTGGGGGCCGACCGGGCCCTTGGGCATCATTCATTCACATGCCGTCATCAGCTCCACCACCCCCCCCCCTCGTCCTTGCATTACCTTCCTTTCTCCACCGCCTCGCCGCCTTTCCCGTGTCAGTGCGCAACGGAATCAAACGTCCAGAAAGGAAAAAACAAACGTCACGTATACACAGAAGAAAAAACATACATGGTTGGACCACGTAAGTTCAACGATACGCACTGATCGTGAATTGGAACCATGTCAAAGGGAGCGTACGTATCTAGGTACATAAACAAACAATAGTACATGCCGGTAGTATCCAAACCCGAGTAAAGAAAAACAAACAAAAAAGAGAGTAAAAGCTTACCGCACAGTGACTTTTCTTGACTAGAAGAAAAAAAACAAAACAAAAATACAAACTACCCACGTGCCCACCTTCTGCATAGATGGGCCAGACGACAAGTCAGTCACGGAAAAGACGGCGTCCTCGCGGCACTTTTGGGTTGACTATGTAAAGAAGTGGATATGAGCATGTGCCAAGCTACCTTGTCCACATGTCCCCAACGACCACTCATACACTTTCCTTAACGCCCCCGGTCCGTTTCTAGTCGCGAAAAGGCCCTAACTATTAGTTAATACTATACCGGACCGACCTTTTTTCTTCTCTCTCTCCATCGTCTACCCCGAGATTTTTCCCTTTCCCCCATTGCGTGTTTTTTGTGCTTGTATGGGGCGTTTAGACTATATGCTATGAAATTGCTGCTTGTCTCATGATTTGAGCTTCTTTCTCCTCCTTGTGATTTGATCCACTGCTAGGGACTTTTAGTCTGGGTGGGTGGTTTTGTTTAAACTTGGGACGCTTAAATGGTGTGTGCATGTGTAGAGCCGTGGGGAGTTGTTTTACTAGCTGCGGGAAGAGAAAGTCTTGGGTTGCTAGTAAGTCTGGATACTATCTTGCGTCCGCGGAATCGTGTTGTTGTTGTGATCGTGATCTCAATGGGAAGCTAGGCTGCGAAGTCGCTCTCTCGGTGTTGTGATGATTGTTTAAAGTCGTAACTATTCGAGTCCAAAGTTGTGGGTCGGCTTTTAACAGTGGGAGCATACATGCACGGGATGACTGATGTTCAGAAAATACTTTTAGATTACGTTCGCTCCGAGCTACTAGAGTTAGCTAGCCTGCTAAGACGAAATACCGAAGCATCCAGTATTCGTGTGAGGATGTTATGCTATGTGGCATGTTTGAAAATGGATAAACCACTCATGCACTACCAAGAGACCGTTGTGCTCTTCTAAAAAGCATACTGTGTGTGACCCAAAACGCCCACACCACGCCACCCGCTCGATTTCCCAAAGCTACTATAGCCCAAGATGCACTTGATACCTTACTTGTACTCCTTGCACCTTTCCAAACTCTCGCACACAGGACCCTTCAAGATCCTCAACGCCTCAGCGATCAACTCGTGCAGCTCCTTACGGAAATGCTGGCCTTCCGGCGTATCATGCTCTTTGCTATGCTTCTGTCGCTGAAAAGCATCCCGAATAGTTTCGAGAATACCAACCACTTCTTTGCAGAGCTCATTGCAAGTATCACTGATGAGTTTTCTCACGTCTTCTCGAGTCAATCCTGCAATGTCAGGAAAAACACCTTCGAGGCCAATGATTTTCTCTTTGAGATATGCATGGCGGACATCCATGAGCTTCTGGCGTTTTCCGGCTTTTTTCAAAATGGCCTGTTGATAAACAGGCTTCATTTTCCGGTGCATATATCCTTTTTCGGTAGGTTTGATCGCTTTGCCGAATACTTCGATGAGTCCGTCACGAAGCTTCTTCGTGGCGGCTTCGATCGTGAGTGTAATGTTTTCTTCATGATCAAGGACATTGTTGCCGAAGCAAGTCTGGTACGCATCTCCGACTAGAGCCTGTGGATCATCTGGGATAGATACATTTATTAGCATGGTTAGCGGAAACAGCGTGACGAAATACCTTTCAATAGCTTGTTTAGTTCACGAAAGCTCGTCTTGATGGTTTGTGCAGCGTGAGCTTTGAACGATGAAGGTGCATCTTCGATTGCTCTTCGGAAGTGCCTATCGATATCGGATGCGACAAATGACAGTAGTACAGCATTCACGTCGTGCTTGATGCCCAGCTTCTTCTGATGCCATTTCCCTGGCATTCGTTAGCGGAAGCTTTGCACATATGATAACAGGGTAATGTACCTTGGTTTCTGACTAGAGCTCTATGCGAAGCGGCAGCCTGTAACAGTGAGCAACAAGTCATTCTCAGGAACACCCAATTCTTACCATCTTCTCTAGCTCCTCGAGCTTCGTCTCAGCCTTGCTATCAAACTTGTCCTGCAGCTCACGTTTTGAAAGTTCGTTCAAAAGGTCTTCCAAGAACGTGCTGTGGCATCTTTTTTTCATTTTCTCGATTTCCAACTCAATATCCTATTTTGGTTTAGTAAATATTCATATTGAGGCTGCTCCTCGACTTTGACTCCGTATAGGGACACAAGTCTAGTTCACACCCTCCCATCGAGTTTGTCCTTCAGACCTGGTAATCAAATAACTTACCTTAATGGCCTGGTCCAGAATTTTGGTTATGTACTCTACTCGGGCTTCTGTACTCTTGCTATAGCTCATCTGGAAGATGCTTAGCAGCATGGGGGTTTTGAACTGGATGAAGTTTTCAAGAACGGCGACCTTTCCTTGGGAAGGCTGTCCAGCAATATGATTGAAGAGCGCCAGGATTTTTGTGTCTTCCAACTTCATAGACGGAACCTTGTCAGGGTATGCAGTGTTATATCCCCGGCGGTACCGCATGAACATGCGATTAGAAATGCAAAAGGATGCAGCGCCCGCATCGTCGCCAGTGTTGTGACTGTACATCCGGTTCAGACCCGTAGCAACAAACCTGTTACGGCAAGCAATTCGAATGTCTTTACGTTCTTTTTCCAAGGAAATAATACGGGCCTTCAAATCTTTTTTGCGTGTAACCAAGTCCTTGTTGGTTGCGCGTAAAGCCTCCTTCGAGTGATCGTCTTCGGTGACAGAGCTTTGATTGACGAAGCTCCTGATGCGCTTGATCTTGTTTTTGTTGTTTTCGATGCCATTTTCGATGATCTGAACCTTACCGGTGAGTTCACTCAACTTCTCTTCGACGGGGGCAAGCTGTCCTTCTGCTATGGCATCCAGTTGCAGTGTACTACCACCATCATCATTCATTTCCTGTTATATCAATTAATAAATGGGCAGAACATGTATCCTGGAGAGCTTACATCAGATCTGGTAGCCACAAGAATGACACTACCATGGTGTCGCCTACGGTGCGCATCCAGATAGTGCTGTCGAAAAGATTGGTCGCTCGTGGCCCGCTTTATGTCGACGACTACGATCGTCTTTTCGCACTGCTGCAAATAAGCCTCTGCTGCCGCAACACGATAAACGTTGATGTCTTTCGCGCCTGGGACATCGGCCAAGCAGATTCCATCTTGTAGTAGGGGGCTGTCGACATAGTACCTGATAATCTCTACAAACGGCCATGGGCTGAAAGAAAGAGGTTTCCCATTGAAACGTGCATTTGGTGCTTTCATTCGGAAAGGGCGAAGTTGTTCGCGCATGTCGCTGTGAGTGCTGGACGTGAGGGGGACAAAGAGCTCGCCGTCCCGAACAAATTGCTCGTGTATCTCACCAGTCCATCTCTGTAGCTTTAAGAGTGCTGGACTGTCCTTCCAAGACTTGCTTGCAGACATAAAGTCCTCGAGCGATTCAGGTGCGACATAGTGAGCAAAGAGATGGTTCAAGCAATCCAGAGCAGCGTCTTTGCGTGCCCGATCGTCGTCATCGACGTCTTCTTCGTCGCTCATCATCCGCTGTTGGGTATTAAACCATTGCTTAAACCAAATATTCACGAGGTTTTCTATGCAGTATTCGACGCAGTAAAATTTTACCTCTGCTTGAACTGCCCCCATATTGTTGGAGAGTTTCTTCTGGCGGAACTCCGTTACCACGTTGGTGCATGCGCTGCCACTATCCCCCTGTTTCATTGTCAGTTAAACAAAGTCATGTAGCCTTGGATATTTTCTACTGAGAGACAGTGATCTGATACGCTAGGTTCGAGACAGATGTAAACAATCCGAGCAGTAAGCTAGGGCTACACTTACTTCTGGCGTCAGGTCGTCACCCAGCAAAGCATTCGTAGTTGCAGACTTCCCAGATCCTGTATCTCCTGTGACTGCAAACCGAATCTCTTCCTGGTAGGAAATAATGCAATTTTTGACAGCTTGTGAGTAGAGATAAGCAGCCTCTTCGCCACCAATACCTTGATCCGCAGCCGCTCCTAGGAAGTCTTTGAATACTCGCAAGATACTCCGAACATCCTTTTCTGACTGTTGAAATCCTGGATGGTAGATGGGTAGCTTTGGACGGCGCTGTTGAGTTAGGTCAAGCGGAGGCACTGCTGTATCTCTTTCATCGTTGCTATCGTCATCGTCATCGTCACTATCAGTCCAGATTTCAGATGCTGGGAAGTATTAGCCTTTGATCTGGTTTAGGTACACACTGCTGTAGTTGTATACCTGAACGCTTAGCGGGTAGCACAGATCCTATGGTGCTAGGATTCCAGCTAGTAATAGCAGCTATAGTGTTCGCCTCAATAGCTTTGAGTCTATCAAGACAGTCTGTCTTGAGGTTTGGGATCATATTTGCTTCTGGAGCAACTCGTACTACGCGTTCAGGTTCGAATAGAGGACTCTGCGGATCGTCCGGCACACATTGTTGCAGATTGTTGTCGTCCTCTTCCATCGTGTCCACTAAAGGTTGAGATAGCAGAAAGATAGAAAAGAGTTGGAAGGGAAAAGGATTGGTAGGGTTCAGTAGTTATAGATCGCTTTTAGGTGAGAGAGCAAGCCTTAGACAAGACGCCACTAGAACAGCGAGGTGAGAGACCGGTGAGCCATAGTGTGAAGTTAATGGGTATAGGTAGTGTACTACATGACCTCCATCGGCTCTTACCTGTCCTGTCAAGCTAGGGTAGATCAAGGCGTAATCAGCCCAAGGTGCTTGGATATGGCCGGACTAGCAGAGATTATAGCCAGTTCCATGCCCTTAATTTTCAACATCATTCCGCTGTCGGTAGGAAATCCTTTTCCAATGATAAATATGAAATTTGAGTGAGGACTGTTAGAAAAGGATTGTTGACATGCGCATCTTCCTGAACTGAGAGAAGCACTGCTTATATCAGCGGTAAAAGCCATACGACTGTGATGTTGAGGCCCTACGAGGCCCTACCAGCAATCACCTTTTTTTGGAACAACTGAAAAACTATTGGCATTTCATACAATCGGATACGAAGCGTGATCAAGGCCAAGGTGCGGGGTCCCCACATGGCGTACTCGCAGCTGGTGAGAAGGATGATGTGCGCACGTGGGCCCTGAAAATATATAAGTTTCGGGCTCCCCCTTGTCAAGGCAGATTTTCCTACTGCTCTACTTGGCCGACGGGCGTCTTTGGTCCTTAATTCATGGCGGAGGATCGTGGGGCATTAAACCGAGGGATTAAAAGGGCAAGAACGCGGCATGGGTCAGTGCTGCACAGAACCAGCAGAAACAACTGCCAAGTACTAACCTGATCTCCAGATGCTTGAACTGCAAGATCAGAAGGCGCAAGTGTGATGAAGTGAAGCCGACATGCTCGCGTTGTGCTGCAAAGAACGACAAATGCGAATGGACTTCTCGCCTCACCTTCCGAGCCGAGAATGCATTAGCAATTCATCCATCACTATTGCATCAGCCCCCGGGATTTCCGCCTAAGCGTTTCAGGATTAAAGATGTTACTGCAGAAGTCATGCGGGACTACCAGTGTGACAAGCCAGGAGATGGGCCCGGCGCTTGTGATCAGTCTGATAACCAGCTGGTTAGTAGTTACAGCGATCTCTCATCTACCACGATCGATGATCGGAGCATTTTATTTCAAAATGACTCGTGCTGGCCGAAAAACACATCGCATACGAACACTGAGGATATCCCGAGTCAGGCTCGACCCGAAGGATACGTACCCATACCTGTTTCTGCAGATACAGAGGTGGCACGGAACAGTCCGGTAATTGCCGCACACCCAGACAACACAATCTTTCTTCCGGGATCTGCATACCTCGACGCTCATGCCGCATTGAGAAGTCATCTGAAAGAAAAGGCACGATCCAATGATCATACCCCAGAAGCATCGCGCGACTCTTCAAAGGACACTCGCATATGTTCTGTAGACACCGATTTCGATACAGTGACAAAAAAAGGCACCATGCAACTCCCATTTGACCCTGTCATTGGCGGGGAACCGAGCCCTACTCAATTATCAGTGTTTCAGCTATCAGCTGAGAAAGAACTTGAGTTGTGGAAGAATTGGCTTGATGAAATAGCGCCTTGGATTGACAAGTTTGATGGTGAACGCCATTTTCAGCACCAACTCCCGATACTGGCACGTTCCCACGAGCATCTGAAGTACTCAATACTAGCGTTATCAGCACGACAGATTGAGGTCAAGAATCGCAGCATACACACTGAGCAAAGCTTAGCTTTGTACCAAACAGCCATCCAACTCGTCCTACCGCATCTACATACACGCAGCATGGGAGTTATAGCAACATGCGTGGTATTGTGCGTGCTAGAGATGCAAAGCAGTTCATCCAGGGTGTGGCATCAGCATTTGGATGGCTGTGCACATTTGATTGAAGCAGCTGGAATCAATGGCTTCTCTGGTGGCCTTGAACAAGCCTTGTTCTGGTGCTTCGCTCGTATGGATGTATGTGGTGGACTTATTTCCTCATCCAAAACGCTCATACCTGTTGAGCGCTGGGTCTTGGGTATGAGTCTTGACGCTGATGTGCATCTCTTTCGAGCGAAGAAAGGATACAACACTCACGCATGTGAAGTGGTCTACCTGTTTGCACAAATACTCGACTTGCTCTCTTTCCATCCAAACTTGGCCCGGCGGGCTGGTGTCTCACTCGATACATCAGAGATTCGAGATGAAGCCTATATGGCGCGGTGGATGAGGCTTTGGAACCATGTTTCTGCATGGCATGCTACGCGTCCAGCAGAGATGCTCCCTATAACATCTCTCACAAACCCCACATGGCCATTTCCCAAGATCCTGTATAGCAACCCTGCCGCCATCTCGGGGAACCAACTTTACCATACAGCATGCCTTCTTATGCTTAAGCACAAGCCTGCGGGGGTCACTATCATGCCTAAGCCGAACTCTATTTTCTGGTATGCACGTCAGATCTGCGGGATATCGATGAGCAATGACCACCACGGTGCGTGGACCAATGCGATACAACCTTTGTGGATCGCGGGCCAATGGATGAGTCACGAGAGCGAGCACAAGGCTATCTTGCAGCTATTAGAAAAGATTGAAGTACAGTCGGGGTGGGGTACAAAGTGGCGGGCAGAAGACTTGAAAGAGTTCTGGGGTTAGCAGAGCACCGCTGTCTTTCCTTTTGCATGTGACTTGTTCTCTTATGCAGTGGATATGACGCTAATTGATAATAATCCATATGGGTCCGCGTGTGTACATAATCGTGTGTTGGAACGTATAACTAGCAGCCAAGATGTGGTGGTGAAATAGTGTTGATGGCAGAGACAGACGCGTCGCTATGAGCGATAGCAATGACGGCACCAGTGCACGGACGATCTCGGAGGTAACAGCGGCGATGCTGACTATCGTTTGCTGCTCCATCGCGACCGTCGCCGCTGGAGACACGTAGAAAGCGGTCGAAGTCGATTCCAATCCGAGTCCTCTCGTCCTGCCACTTGCATCCCTTGTTCGCCTGCATCCTCGCTGTCACGCATGGGTTCCACTACCCGATCAACACCACGCATTGTTGCCTACGCTTTCCTTGTCGGCTTTACCGTTTAGCACTGTACACTCACCTATAGATCCACGACTAATCCTACATTCCTCCCGCAGCCTGTTTGCCACTTTCTTCCATTGCACACTGCCTGGAAGCAGATTCAACAGCACACGCTCTTCGTTTACCGATTCCATTTACCCTCCTCGACCCATTTGGGCGCCCCGCCACCATGTTCACGAGCTTCACGGGAAACCCGCGTCGGGCGCGACAGGTCAATCTCAGTGGAAAGAAGACCAATCCCTTCGGCCCCCCAGGCTCCGGCGCCGGATCACAAGCCGCCCTCGACCGAGCACAGCAAGACCGAGCACAACGGCAGCGGGAACGAGATACATTGAATGCCGCCAAGCGAATACAGAGGGTGTGGCGGGGTCATTCAGCCAGGCAGAAAGTGGCTAACCAAGTACGAAGTGAATGGGACAGAGTAGAGGCTCCCAATGGCTTCTCACAACAGGGATCGTATGCCTCGGAAGACGAGGCTCTTGCTCAATTACAGCGGCTACTTCGTTTTGTCTCCACCCGCAGCGAGGATGACCTGAAACGGATACAACATTATGGAGCAAGACAGATGGAAACAGTTCAAGCCTTGGGCCTGGAATCAAGCGGACCATGGCTGTCGGCATATTCAAGACTACAGCGGGTATCTTTGGTTGCCATAGAACGCCAACTCAGGCCTTCATCAACACAATGGAGTCAGATCGGGACATCCCTTACCACCCTGCAGTTTCTAGCCGAACAAATACCTGCCGAGACATCCCGAAACGCCCAGAACTATTACCGCACCCTCGCACAAGTCGTATCTAGGCTCTCCCCTGAACTTGAGTCGTCCGACAATGGGTCAGACGTAGTCAACGTTGTGCTGAGAACCCTGGTCGCACCATTGAAGGTCACTGGATATACGTTGGATGCCTACGAAGCGCTTGGGGTGCACTTCCTGACACTTCCATTACTTAGTTCAGACTCGACATCACCACCCGTACAGAAGCTTCGGGATTCGCTCGCCGACTCGATAAACTACAAGCTACTTGCGAATGCGCTGGCTACTCTAGCTAAACGGTCCGGACTACAAAACAGGCCAGAATTACAGAGTACACTGAGTCGGCTTCGCTTGCTGGGAACCTTCATCTATTTCCACCGCTATGCTCACAATTTTGATACCCCAGAGGCATACGCTGTACACAAAGACTTTGTATCTGTTGTATCTGTTCTTCTGAATTCGTTACCTGTCAATATAGTTGATGAAGACCACCCCATCACGGAGATTACCGAAGACGATGCCGTCAATTCGGATTCAGGTGCAGTGACTGAGTTTCTCAAACAGCAGGTTGAATCTCTGGTACATCAGGAAGGAATTGGGAGTCTCTTGGCTGGCTCATCACAATCCCTTGATACTTCCGAAGATGAAAAGGTTGATGAAGCGCGGCAGCTTGCCAACTACGCACTTGCACTGCTACGCTTCTTTCCGCGAAGAGGTGACGAGATACGCATGTGGCTTTACATTGGCCCATCGGAGTCGTCTGGGAAGAGCACGCGCAAGTTGCCCGCTATCCGATACTTCTGGGAGGCATCGAGAAGGTCATCAGTCTTTTCCACAATCTTCAAAGACTCACGGGCAGCCATTGGTCTACTGAAGCCAAAGTCATCCGACACTAACAGCTCAGATCGCCCGGGTACATCCGGTCTGACACAACATGGGTTCTGGCAGCCAGCGCAACAGCAAGTGAATCGTGATGCGGCTGTTACGGATGAGTGGCGGGTCATTCTAGTATTTCTAGAACTTTACACATTTGTGCTCAAAGTTACAGATGACGAAGAGTTTTTCAGTACCGGACAGCAAGACGCCTATTCCGGGCAAGTCCGTGATAATGGACTACCTCTGACCGAGGTAAAGGACCTCACGACATTCCTAAAGAATCTAGGTTTCACACTTTACTTTAATGCAGTAGAAATCACTACATCAGCAGATAGTACCGAAAGCAGCAGCACGGGCTTCAACTACTTCAACCCAAAAGCAATCGAAAATCAAAGCCAGAAAGAACAAGTCGAGCCATCTATAGGTGGAGTGGCTGGATTGAAGATCGACTATGTTAAAGGGCTGGTCACAGGTCTCCTTCGTATGGTCTATGAGCGTGACTCGCGACGCAAATTCTTACCGCCAGACCACTGGTTGATGACTTCACGATTCGATATGACTGGCTTCATTCCAGCTGTAGTCGAAGAGGAGGAGTCACGGCACAAGATCCAAGAAGAGGACGGAGACAATCTGGATGACCAAGAAGAAGAATTCGACGATACACCACAGCTTATTGGGACGAGTCGGACTCAGCAACAACGACGACTGGAGAAATTGCAGCGACAGCAACGCAAGGCTTCAAGAAGAAGGTACCTCCAGGCTGTGGCTCCTCGGTTGGAAATTCTGCAGAACATGCCATTCTTCATACCATTCACTACCAGGGTACAAATCTTCCGAGAATTCGTACACCTGGACATGACCAAGCGAAGAGGCGGTTCTGATCCCGAGCTCTGGCGATTCAGACTGATGCAGCAACCAAATGCCCGTGGTCAGTTCGAAAGGCACTCTGCCAGGATCAGGAGAGAAAATGAGTTTGACGATGCCTTCGACCAGTTTTATGACCTGGGACAGGGCTTGAAGGAACCAATTCAAATCACCTTCTTGGATCAGTTCGGTGCACAGGAGGCTGGTATCGATGGTGGTGGTGTCACCAAGGAGTTTCTGACAAGCGTCACCAACCGAGCCTTTATGCCTACAGACTATATCGACATGTTCATCGAGAACGACCAACATCTCCTCTATCCTAATCCTGCTGCACTTGAAGAACACAAGGAAGCTCTGCGACAAGCGGGCATACGCGAAGGATCACAAGAGTATCGTGCGCAAATCACCGAGCTGCTTCAACGCTACGAATTCTTGGGTCGCATCATCGGCAAATGCATGTACGAGGGTATCTTAATTGACGTCAATTTTGCACCCTTCTTCCTACGCAAATGGGCTCTGACAGGCGGCGCCGGCTCCGCACCTAACGAATCAGGCTACCGACCAACGCTCAACGACCTTCGCGACCTGGACGAAGAGCTGTACCAAGGCCTGCACAAGCTCAAAACTTATCCTGGTGATGTGGAGGATTTCTCGCTCAATTTCACAGTCACAGATACGATTGTCGTCGACCACACCACCACACCCAAGAAGACCAAGGCTATCACCAAGGAACTCAAGCCCGACGGCTCCAACACACCCGTCACGAACCAAAACCGCCTCGTCTACATCAGCTATATGGCACGCCACCGCCTACAAAACCAACCCTACGCCCAAACCGCCGCCTTCCTCCGCGGCCTCAGCACAATGATCCAGCCCTCCTGGCTCTCAATGTTCAACCAGTCCGAACTGCAAACCCTCATCTCCGGCACCCGCACCTCCATCGACGTCGAAGATCTCCGCCGCAACACCATTTACGGAGGCACATACGTCATCGGCGACGACGGCCTCGAGCATCCGACCATCCAGCTCCTCTGGAAGGTCATGAAGGAAATGTCCGACGATGAGCGCCGTGCTGTCCTCAAATTCGTCACGAGCACCCCTCGCGCCCCACTGCTAGGCTTCGCAACGCTAAATCCCCGCTTTAGCATTCGTGATGCGGGGAGCGATCAGGAAAGGCTGCCTAGCACGAGTACGTGTGTGAATTTGCTCAAGTTGCCCATGTATCGCGACGAGGCGACGCTCAAGGAGAAGTTGCTGTATAGTGTTTTTTCGGGCGCTGGCTTTGATTTGAGTTAGGCAAATAAATTCGATTTTCTTGGTTTTGCAAATGGCCTTTTGTCCGCGTGTTTGGCTCAATGTCAAAGTTCGAGTAGGGTTTGGAGAAGGTGTGACCAAGGGATTGATTGCTCTTGTAGGTTCGCAAATAGCATGCATGGAAGCCGCCGTGCAACGTAGATGTAGACGTTTTCTTTTTTCTTTCAACTGCAATAGAGACAATTTCTCTCTCTCTCTCTCTCTCTCCCACCCCCTTTATCTACGTAATTTGGTTTTTTTTAGGAACTTACGGTATTCTACTGCACGGTGCAAAGGTGCGCATTTCAAGTAACAATGTGCAACGAGACACCCAGAAAACGGATAGACATGTAAGTCTGATGGCAAGCAAAACAAAACAGAACCAAAAAAAAATGCAGGTTTGGGTATAGTTTGCTGGCAGGTTTTACACAGCTTGGGCGACGATATGGGTGCCTTTCACAGGGGATATAGTATCCCGAACTCCCCTCTCCCTTATCTACCATATCCACAACACGGAAGGTAGTAAAAGCTACAGGAGCGCAAAGGCCGTCAATCGTCTAACAATGAACCAATGTTTCTACACGACATGCACCTAGAGCCTGGCACGCTCCTAGTGCCGCTCAGGCATCTGATGCTGTCTCTTGAGATAACTCGCCTGTAATCACAGTCAGAATTCGTTAACGTTCCCAGGTAAGATACCCCCAAAGCAAAATCAACCAAAAGACTCACCTCATCTAGCACAGCCTGCAGTCTACCTTCCTCAGCCACAACCTTCTTGACTGTATCGCTGACATTGCCTTCGAGGCCTACATTACAGCCGCGCGGCAGCCATCTTAGTATATGGAATGCGTTTGCATATACGCTCGTTGCTCCCGTCATTCTCCCGTCGTCGGGCAGGCTGGCTTGGAGGATGATTTTGAAGGTTTTGAGACCCCAGCAGTATCTCAAGCCCAAGCGGACGAGGTCGGCGAAGCCATCGAGGATATCGTGGTGTGAAGGTATTGTAAGAACGACGTGCTTGATGAGGCTGCGGGAGCGCTGGTGAAGTGTCGAAAGCGTATGTATGCCGCTTGTCAAGCTGAGCGTAAACACGTTGTCGCTGTAGAGAACCTGCCGCGCCTCCTTATATATCTGCTTATTCAATCGCAAAATCTCTGGGATGATGGGGTCGCTCAGTGGGATGCGCTCTGGTCCTGGACTTTGGCCTCTGGCCCGCTGATTCAAGTATGGTCGCTGCTCCGGTCCGTGAAACCATACTCTGCGTAGGACGGGCGCCGGCGCAGGAGGAAACTCGTCTTCGTCAGGCTTCTCGGGAGCACGGTCAGCATGGAGGAGGAGCGGTTCCTCGCGCACGAGCGCCATATGGTATATGTGGATGCGAAGTTCGGCGGGAAGCTTCATAAATGGAAAGGGGGATTCGAGGACGTCGTCGACCGTGGGACACGATGGCGCAGCTTCGCATTCGGACAAGTTGCTGGGTTCTGGTGTCGCGAGGCCGGTTCGAACGGGCGGGTTCAAAGGGCTGGGGCAAGACGTCGGACTCTCTGGTACTGCATCGCTGGCCGTATCGCATGTGCGAGATCTTTTCGATCTGTTATCGTGAGGTTCGACCTCGTCTGCTAGTATTAATCTCTTCCGTCTGGGTGCCGCGCGCCGATCCATGACTGGCTGCTCTGGTGTGATAATATCGAATAAAGTCGAACAACTCATCGGCAGAGTAGCAATGTTCAGAAAGTTTCTTTTTTTGGTCGGCTATATGGTGCCGACGGTCACCTCGGTGGGAGGGAATGACGCGTCGGGCGTGCGAAATACCACGTTCTAGTCTTAGGGAGACAATCCGGCTAACTAGCTCATCATCGCAGGCGCAGATACAATGGAATATCGGGGCGGATAACGCAACAATACAAACACAATAGCAAGACTCTTGTTTATTGATAAACAAAAAAGCAGTGAATGTCAGAAGTAGGTAACAGACAAGTGGATTCGCGGGTCGGGAGGTGGGTGATTGCGGGGTCGAGAACACCAGTAGCGCGTCTGAGGATCCAGCAGGCAAGTGCCAATGCGCATGATAGTTACGTCACGTGTTTCTTCAATAAATAGCACTGGAAGATTGGCATGTGCGATGTGAATGAGAGTCCTGAGCATGCCATGATGTGCTGTCATTGAAAAACATGGCCCTTGTGGGCCAAAATAGTATTGCAAGAATGTGTCTCTGTAAAGTGATTTGCACCAAATTGTTATCTACTGCAGCCAGGACAGTGCGGACCGCCGGCTTCGTATCTACACAATCGGCGTCGGTCGAGAAATTAATAATAAAGGGAATCAGAAAACAACCACACGCCCTATCCATCTGTCCCGCATCCTACAGTTTGTTGTGACCTCGAAACTATGAAGCATTCAGATATCCCCCTACAGAATCTCAAGAGCATAAGGAACAATATCTCTAGGTAACCGTCCTCCAGTTACAGACATCAGGTAGCGGAGACGACAAAAGAAACTTAGGAAAATTCCTCCGCATACCTGCCTAGACCACCTTATAGGTCTATTAGGTTGTTGCTGCCAGGTTGTCGGTTCTGCTGCTGCTGCTGGGCACCGAACGGGTTGGCATTGCCGTAAGGGTTGGCACCAAAGTTGCTCGCTGGTCCAGTCTGTGCGGGCATCAAGCGGTTTTGTTGAGGCATGCCTGTGAACTGCGAGTTCAAGAAGGGGTTGTTTCCAGTGGCATTTGCGTTGATCTTGTTCAAGCCCGCGCCGGCTGAGTTAACAAACGTTCCTGGCGCAGTGTGCTGAGCAGGAATACGCATATTTCCTACGTTGCCAAAAGTATCCTGACCCTCTCCGGTTGCCAAGAGTGCATTGAGTCGCGCAGCGGTTGGGTCCATTTCCTTCTGTGGTGGTTGTGGTCGCTGTTGCTGCTGTGGTTGCGGCGTCGCCTGTGGAGAGAATGATGGCTGGGGGCTGAAAGACGGGGTGTTGAACTGCGTCTGAGTCTTTTGCTCACTTAGAGTGTTCAGCGTCGGTTGTGTGAAGGACTGCGTTGGCTGCGGGCGGTTGAAAGACTGCGCGAATGGGTTATTGGAGCCAGTCGGCTGCGGCATCAGGGATTCCTGAGTCTTGTTGCTAGCCCATGGGTTGTGGCTGCCAGGCTGGAGTGTGTTCTGGTCTTGCTGTGGTTGCTGCTGCTGCTGCTGGCTCATATCTCCAAATCCGCCGAATTGGCCATACGGGTTGTTCGTAAAAGCGGTTTGCTGGGGCTGGATAGTGTGCTGAGGTTGCAAATATTGCTGTTGCTGCTGAGCGCCAAACTGATCAAAACCCGTCGGTTGTGGCTGCTGTTGGAAACCTCCATAGCCTCCAAACCCGTTCTGGAATCCCGTCTGCTGGGGCTGCATTCCAGTAGGCTGGGCGTATGCAGTGTTGAGGAAACCAGTGTTCTGAGGTTGCTGCTGTTGCTGATTTGGATCCACAAGGTTGCCAAACCAGTCAACCTGACCCTGCTGCTGATAACCTTGGTTGTTTCCGGTGGGCTGGTAAACACTTGGCTGGGCAGTAGTCTCTCCGAAAAGCAGGTCGGCATTGGTTTGTTCGAGCTCCTTGCGGCGCAACTCCTCTTCCTCTTTACTCAACTTGATCGCCTTCTCCAGGTCATCGTCGTTCTCGTCGGCCCTTGCGCTGCGTTCTCGACGCTTCTTTTCCTCTTCGGCCTCATTCCTACTAGCCTCAAGGGCTAGCCTGAGCTCGATATCCTCTTCTTCTGTTCTACGGTTACGGCGCTGTTCGCCGTTCCGCTGGTGCCTTTGCGCATCATGATCTGCACGCTGGGGTCCGCCTCCAGGATATTCCTCAATGCCCGTAACTCGCGACTTCCACGACTTCCTGTCGGCTCGCTCGGCGCGTAATCGTTCTTCGTCCATGATGAGCGAAGTCAACTCCTTGGCTGCCATTCGCACTGTGGGTGTCTTAGTAAGCTGTTCTTGCTGCGGTGCGAGACGCGCTTACCATTCTGACCAACATCACGGCCGTCCTCGTCAATGTGTTGGAATTCGCGCAATGTCTTGATGATGTAGATGTTCTTGCGCGCCCAGGTTACGACGAGCTCTGAGCCCTCGTGCAGGCAGTAGTCGAGCACCTTGAGCGATTTGAGGACGTGGCGCCAGTTTTTGCCTCGGTCGTTGAGTCGTTTGTCCAGCATGTCCATTACCTGGTAGAAGTCGGTCGAACTGGGTAAGGTGTCAGCATAGCCGGGCGCGATTCACACAGGGCGCCCATACCTATTGAAGGTGATTTGGGCAATCTCAGCCATGTCGGAGCCCACAGGGCCCCATGGATCGTTGCTGGTGGCTGCAATTGTTAGATGCGCCATACGTGTACCTCACAGGGTGCTCCTTACCATTGCGGACCTTGACTTCGACCTGGCTGTAGCCCTTTGTCACGTTCTTGACGGATCTTGCGATTTTACTCATGGCTGCGACGTATCTGGGAGAAGAAGATGATCAAAAGGTAGTAGGGGGCAGCGGAGCTGTCGGGAGGGAAGGTCGCAACAGGCGTGCAGCGGATCAGAGCTGGAGCGCTGGGCGTATGACGTGCCGCTAACCAGACGAGCTCAAGCAATGAGTGGCGCGATGATTTGGAGCCCGTTGAAGGTCCAGCGAGGGTGGGAAAATGGGGCTGTGTCTTCCGTGTGGGCTGTGGCAAGCTGTGGTAAAATGGACTTGCAGGAGAGTCGTGGATAGACGTAATGCGAGGCTGGTGCGCTGATGACCACCTGCAGCATAGCCAGGGCCCGAGCGACCGAAACCCAGGGTCGGAGCGCTACGACGTCAACCCCAGAAAATATCGCCCGCCTTGGAAACTCCTCGACGTACCAATGCAAGCCATGGCAGCCCTCCTCTACCTGCTCAAGCAGCCAATTTCTCAAAGTGCCCAGATGTGCTCGCGAGCAGCCCAAGGTGCTAGAGGCGACTGGCGAGCGGGCTGACGAATCTGCCTCGTCAGCCGCCCTTGGTAATATCATGCAATGCTAGGGAACATGCTCCAGTGAACCCAACCGGTTTGGGCGAAGCCACAGCAGTGGCGTGAAATACCTGCAACAAGTCCAACATGCCCAACAAAGGTCAAACACTGTGTCTGAGAGATGCACGCTGATGCGCCTATAGTAGCAGCAATCCAAAGCTACGGTTGGGCATCATTGCAACCTTCCCCCCTTACTACCGGCACGACTTATTGGACCAGCACCCACCGCAAACACCTGCTGAGTCCAATCATCTGAAGCCTAAGTATATATATATATATATATATATATGAGAGGCCCAAGGAATGTTTGTCATTGTCATCTACGGCTCTCACATTTGCCTTCAACCCTCAACACTCACATTCACAGGCTTTGGAGGGATTACAAGTAAATTAAAATTGATTCACATTTTTTGGTCCTGCTTGCGCAGAATAGTTGTAGTCTAAAAGTGGATGTAAGTCCTTCATTAAATACCAGTCTAGAGATTTGCCCACGTCCGTAAGAGAAACGAGACAGAAAAGATACAGGCCAGGACGCCCTTGCCAATCTTGATGTGTCGCAGACACGCCCAACGCCTGCCATCCTGTGGTGAGCTCCCGGTCAAAAGTAACTAGAAAGTAAACCCCGGAGAACCCGCCACCAGATAAATACCAAAAATTGTAAACAGAGAGAAACGGAGAGAGACAAGGGAGGAGATGACAAAGTCGGGAAACATGTAAAGAAACCTCCGAGCGCTTCAAGTCCTGCGAATCCATGAAATCTGCCATGCAGGACATTTTTGATGTAAACAATAGAACACGCCAGTTGCGCAAAGGAAAATTTTGGTGGGCAGTCAGGGCTATGAATCCTGCTGGCCGAAACGAAAAAACACCACTCTAAAGGACTCGCATGTATTAGTTGTACAGACGAAAGCGATGACCCATGATGGTACCACCATGGCTCCAGAAGGCCCTGTTGAGTGCATGGTAGCTCGTCCAAGCCAGTATCCGAGACTGCTCGGCTATTACAATGGACATGATACGATGGTTGGATGGAGAGTCGATCAAGGCATTACGATACTAAAAGGGTAGGTGATCTATTGAACGGCAGGCGCCCACATCTCGTTGCCCATCCGCTGTTGGTTGGGGTTGTAGTGGTCAGGCTCAGTGCTGTTTGGGCGACGGATGTTGTTGTGTTGGTAGTACATGCCGTTCTGCGCCTGGTACTGGGGCTCAGGGTAGACGTATCCGTTGTCACCGGCACCTGGAGAAGGCAGGGCCTGTTGGCCGGGTGATTGCCAGCCCATGGCAGACATATGCGGGCTTCCATTAGCGCTGTTGGTACCTCCAGACTGGTTGTGGTTGGCAGACGCAGGGGGCTCAAGGATCGGTGGGGGGCCATATGCACTTGGGTGGGATGTAATGGCGGGGCGAGAGCCGCTCACGTTGGAGGCATACGATTGCGCAGTAAGCGCAGGAGATGCTCGGGGGCTAGGCTGAGGCATCTCGTGACGCATGTGCGGTGGGACGTTGATGCCGCCCATGTAGGCGTAGTCAGAGCCCTGGCGGTGAAGGCCGGGCATGCCACCTGCGGGCATTCCATTGGCAGGCGAGAGAGACAGCGTGCGGTCGTTGGGCGAAGGAGTGCCCAACGGGGAAGCTGTCTCGGAATAATCACCGCCGTCAGAGCGGCCGGTCCTGCTCGAAGCAGAAGCACGCGAGGCAAGCGCAGCGGCTGTAGCAGCGGCCGCCTCCTCAACAGTGCCAGTGTGGTGGTTCTGGTGACGTGTCAAAGTAGTGCGTCGCGTGAACGTCTTCTGGCAGTCGGCATAGGGGCACTTGTATGGGCGCTTGCCAGAGTGGATACGGCGATGGCGCGCCAGAGAGCTAGAATCACTGAAAGGCTTTGTTGATGTTAGTGAGGAGAAAGCAAGCGAGCTAAAGCGTGAAAACATACCTTTCCGCATCGCTCGCACATGTGAGGCTTCTCGCCAGTGTGGACACGTTGATGGACCGTCAGCGCCGAACGCTGGATGAACTGCTTGCCGCAGTTTGGGTAATCGCAGACATGAGGTCGGATGCCGCTGTGGATACGTTCTGCGAGTGTGTCAGTGCGCTGCAGTTTTAATGTTGCGGTCCAAGCTTCGTACCATGACGTGCGAGGTCACTGCGTCGCGCGAAGCCTTTACCACATGTCGAGCACGCGAACGCCTTTGGTGGACCCGTATCAGAGGCGGGCCGCCCACCATTGTGCTGGTGCTGGACCTGGTTGTCAGGCATCTGTTGTTGCTGGGCATAGGCGTGGTCTGGGGGGTTTGGAATGTAGTTGCTGTTGTTCAGCATGGGCATGGGCGCCTGCATCTGCGAGGGCGAGGGGTAGCGGAGGCCGTTCATGTGCTGCTGGGGGATGGAAGGGTACGAGGGGAGTTGCTGCTGTGGTTGCTGCGATGAGTAGCGCGATGAATCTGACGGGTGAGGCGAGACGCCGCGTTCAGAGCCGTTTTCAGACTTGATGTGGCCGCCGTTGAGGTACGACGGGGGCGCGCCAAAGTGCTGTTGCTGCATTGCGTGCTGCATGGTGAATAGGGAGCCGTGTCCTAGGGAGGCTGTTAATCTCGCGTTCAGAATCGTGTCAAGCTCCATTGTCTCAGAGCTCGCTTCGCGTGACGGGCGACGTGGGAGGAGAAAAAAAAGGGCCAAAATGGGGCGGTTTTGGGGGGTTAAGAGACGGGGAGGGCGGAGCGCACCAGGAGAGAGAAGGAGGGTGGAGCGGGCTGGCTGGGAGCCTCGCAGTTGCACGTGTCGCGCTGGAGTGAAGGAGAGACAGAAGGGCGGAAAATCAGCAGGCGTCGACGACAAGAGTCGGGATGCTTTGGAGCGGCAGTGAGTAGGAGTCGAGTCTCGTGTCGGACCGCGCGCAGGTCAATGCAGCGGAGGGACTGGACGAGGGCAAAGTCAGTCGCGTGGGTGAAGGAGCGTGGAGGCAGCAGAGCGGGCGAGCGAGTGAAGGGGCAAAGGAGTGGCGCGCCAGAAATTGTCGGTCTGGCAGTCGGGCTGGCCACGGCTGGGGGGAAAAGGGGAGTGGAGCGGTAAGAAGGGTCTTGTGCGGGAGGTTGCGGGCAGCACGGAGCGAAAGCGGACCGTTCTTGTGGTGCAGTACGTACCTGAGATAGATATAGACGGGTGAGGTGTCGGGGCAGGGGATGGGCGGTGATGGGGGGACGTGGTGTTGAAAGTCTGCAGGTACTTCTTTACTCACTGCGCGTAGTTGCCCAGAAAGTCAAAGGGCGCTAGAGCGCTTACGGCCTTGGGCGGATCCCGGCCACGAGCTAGTCAACAAAAGGGACCACGATGTGCGCCCGGAGTCCGAGCGCAAGAAGGGCCTCGTTAGTCGACTGCACACCACCTGGGCCGATGCCGTCTGGTGTCTTGGTGCTGGTGCTGGCCCTGCTGGTCTTGGTGCTGGTGCGGGTGCGCTGCTGCGAGCGAGGACCGACTGAAACTGCCAGTCTGCCCGACGGCTTTCCCACGCGACGGGCCCGGACAGGGGGGCGATGGGAGGGATGCCTGTGTGTGTGTGTGTGTGTGTGTGTGTGCACACACTCGCCGATGGCTGCCACTCCAACCTAACTAACTGATCCCGCCAACCGCAACGCCCGGCACCGTCAAGTGGCACTGCTGCAACGCTCCCGAGGGGCGAACCGTTGTCCTTTCCGAGCCACCGCGTCCTCGACAGGCCTGGTGACGTTGGAGACGGGGGCAAAGAGACGCTGCTCACGGTGGGCGCGCGCGCAGACACACAATTCAAGAGGCCCAGATTGCTTTGGCCCAACAAGCTGGTCGACTGCCTCTTTTTGTTTTCTTGCGACTGGCTGCTGCAAGAGGCGCAGGATCGTCTTATTGCTTTTGGACGGCAAAAAGAAAACGTCAATGGACGAGGCGGCTGCTGCTGCTGCATGTCATTGTTAATCGGGTTCGCGAGCCGTGCGCTGACTGTGTTCTTTGGGGGAGCGAGGGGTGTCATGCGGCTTACCTATCCCCAACTGGCCCGCGGGTTGCTGCTTGCGCTCGCTTTGTTCGCAGGCAGGTGGTGTCAAGATCTGGAGAGGATCAAAGTGCCGGTTCCGTCGTGCGGTCCCTCTTCAACGCTCTGGACAGGTGGTGCGTGTGCTGTCTGTCCTATCTCTTGGTACAGTTATACTACCAAGTAGATACACGCAGAGGGCGTCATGGCACGTTCAAATACACCACATCAGTGCATCCCAAGCAAAAGTCGAGTGCGGAGCAGCCCTATCCTTGCGCTCATCTCGCGCTCGCGACACTACAGCTTCACCATGACCAGGACCATTGCTGCAAGCATGCCCCTCCTGGCTGTCAAGGAGCCAGGGCAGTCATGCGACCTTGTTTGAGGCGTCTGTGGCGCTTTTGTGCACAGATGGAGATCCACAAGCCGGGCGACAGCACCGTCGCCAACGTATCAATGTACTGACTATACATACACATGTACATACATACATAACCACGTAAGTACTCCGGTGTCTGCCAACAGGCCCATGGAGGACGGCTTTTGTCGCGTCTAGACACCAGTGGGCCGCGGACAGTGTCAGCTGGTCGCCATTGTTGCCAGCAGTGCCAGGGCGGGCTCGCTCTCCCTTCCGCACACGGCGAGCGGCCATGTGGAATTGGAATTGCATTGCAAACATGGCCAGGACGGCGACTCAGCGGTTCCTGGAGAGATGCTGGGATTGGGGAGAGCATGGGCCAGTTTGGAAGAGCCATGGAAGGCCGCTAGAAGGAACAAAGGCACGGTGCATAAGACGTGTCGTAGCCGTGCAGCGGGCGACAAGTCTGCGTGCCGGCAAAGGGCCCAAGCACAAAGGTGGGTTTGAGACAGCAGAAAGAAGCATAGCATTCTCAATCCCCAAGACGTCTGGCTGTGCTGCAGGGCAGCCTATTGGCGAGGCTTGTCGAGAATGGCGGAGGCTGGGGGACGGCCTTCTGCCTTGTGAGACGGCCGTCGACGCCCCTGAAGCTCCGTGGAAACACTTTGGGCTCACGAACGACGCGCCCTTCCCACCCCCCACGAGGCCGCCACACAGCTGTAACCCCCAGAAACACCTGCGTGTGTTCGCGGGAGGGGATTGGCCCTCATTGGCGATATATATGGCAACACACACACATAGACACGCTCCCTTCCCCTGGCGACAGGTGCCTATTGTAGAAGCAATGCCAAATCGACGATGGCCGTAGTAGCATGTCTGTCTCGACGAAATTCAACGCGCCCCCCTTGCCTTTGGCCATTTGCGGCCCAGCGCCGTGGGGAGACGGGATGGCATGGCAGATTGCGGCCAGGCTAGGTAGGTGGGAAGGCCAGGACAGGCGGCACGTGGAGCGTTCTCGGACAAGGGCACGATGGCTACGCTGGCTGAATCTCCCACCGACATTTCAAAACATTTGGGCCATGTATTACTTAGTTGTAGTTGCGGTGAAGGAGTCGTGGACTGGCACTGGGCTGCTTGGGGCGCTCGGTATGCTTCCGCTAGATCCGTCTGTGCTTGCGCGTCCCACCCCGGCCAAAGTATCTGCCGGGGCCCACCAGTCCCAGCCTCACTGTGTGTTTCGATCATCGACACACGTACCCCCTAAACAGTTGTGCACCACCCGCACGCACACGACATGCCACCACCTACTACCCTGCATTGCGACAATGCCCATCACATCACTCACAAAAGCACCACAAACAAGCCCATCCCCAACTGCGATTGTCGCTGATCGACGCCTGCCGCCTGCACCTGCACCTGCACCTGCACCTGCACCCCGTCTGCCGATGCTTCTTCTTCTCATTCTTCTTATTCTTCTTCTCCCATCCCACCCCACCCACTACTCCTCTGTCTGACCCTGCCAACTCTAATTGCTAATAATGCGCCGGCCAGCGGCACCCACTACCGCTAGCCTGGCACATTTTGTCCCATCATTTTGCAAATGCAACGAGCTATTCTTGTCTTTGGAAGCACAGGGCGCCTCAGATATCCTGTGTCATCAAAGCGTGCCACTGGCCCAGCGGCTGCGGCCCCAGCTCCCCTTGACCAACGTTCCGGCGCAAGGGCGACTTGTTACCAACCCTGCAGCGAGGCTTCGACAATATCCAAGCGCCCTTCTCTGCAATTTCTAGAAGCCGCAGCATGCATCGCTCGTGTCACGGAGCGCTGCACTCGCCCACACCCTGTCGTTTTCCAGAAGATTGCCCATTTGCGCGCGTCTACCGCACACGCACACCCTCTCTTTCCAACACACACACACACACACACACACACATACCCTCGATAGCACCAGTCAACATCCACATCCATACGCAATACCTCCGTCATGCTCATTGAAGCCACCTTTTCTACCCGCCCCGAAATGCGCGCTTTTAGCTGCTAGAAGAAGATGCCGGCGCGGGATCAAATCCGACTCGCTTGCATCCGCATGAAAGCCACAAACCCTGGCCTTTTACCATTCGGCCCTATTCATCATCGTCCGCTCCTGATCTGCCCTGCTCCACCAATGTCCAGCCTTCTCATCAATTGCATCGTGAGCCCCCTTTTTGTTCAATTGCAGTATAGTGCAATATGTCCTCGTGACTACTGCCCTTGTTGGACAAACTGCCCTACATGGTCTTGCAAATGTCGCTCAGTAATATCTGGCCCCAGGTTCAGGACAATTTGATGTTGCCGCAAAAAAGCTCATCTCATTCCCAAGCATCTACGTCCTCGGAATAAGGCCAATGCCATGGCCGCCGCTGTTCAACATGGGCATCTTACCACCATAGCTTGCCGTTCCGGGTGCACGTTGTTTCTCGAGCCGTTGCAAATGGCATCTGACGGTATGCGCGGTGTACAAATCGTACGTATTACATGGTTAGCACTAAACGCCGCAAAATACAGGTGAAACATGACGGCTGCACAGACACGTCGCGCGCAATGAGTCAGTTTGCGTCATCAAATATCTCCGATAGGCGGGATGAGCTGAGTCTCAATTGTAGTAGTATACATAATACAGCACATTTGCGAACCCGAACCCACTCCTCGTGTCGGCCCGCACAAACACTATATGTAGCAAGAAAGAAAAAAGACAAGTGGCAACTGCCGACTTACGCCCGATATCAAAATACAACCATGATCGCCATAATCATCATAAGAGAAAAAAATTGAATTAAAAAAAAGGACCGACAAAACTGGAGAGTGGTCATGATTCTCAGATCCTAGGAACTCCACCAGTACCGAACAACTCCATCTTCACCCGCTCACTTGGAACGCCATAGCTCTTCAACTGGGCCTCAACGTCGAGCATGAACGATGTGGGTCCGCAGCAGTAGTACATTGTGCTGCTGTTGTCCGTGTGGAGAATTGTCCTGTCGACGCGATCGAGATCCACACGGCCTTTGATATCATAATCGTGGCCCTGCATATCCTCCTGGCTTGGGCGTGACAGGTAGTAGACGGCATGCACGTTCCCATGGTTCGCGACAACACACTGGTCCATGTGCTTCTTGAAGGCCCTGGTCTGCGAGTTGCGCGCACCCTGGATCCAAGTAATGGGCCGAGCTGAATCTGCCTCGTCAATCAAGAAATTCAACATGGACATGAGTGCAGTCACCCCGACGCCTGCCGAGATGAGCACCACTGGGCCTCCTGCTGCTGCTGTTGCTGTTGCTGTTGCTGTTGCTGCTGATACAGCTGTATTATCGTCGTCATGATGGCCCGCTTCCCCGGAATCGACAAGGTGGAAATCTCCAAACGGATGCGACACCTGCACCACATCGCCCTCGTGCTTTGCGTCATGCAGCAGATTGGAAATGTACCCCACATGCGTCATGTCCTTGGTCTCCCCCAGCACCACACCAGCCTCCCTCTTGACACTGATGCGCAAATAGCTCTTGCCCGGTGCATCACTCAAACTATACTGTCTAGCCTGCCACACGCCCCCATCCAGCTCCTCCACAAACACCCTAACCGAGACATACTGCCCCGGCTTGAACCGCGGCAGCTTCAGCTGGCCAGCATCCACCGGTTCGAGATAAAAAGACGTAATCTCCTCGCTCTCCTTGACCTTCTTGGCAATCCGCAGGTCCTGCCACGACGGCCAGTACGCCGTCGAGCGGTACAGCTGGCTCTCCTTGCTAATCATAATGTTGGCGAGCTGCCAGTACGCCGCGCCCCACGCATCCAGGATCTCGGGGGTTGCGGCCGCGCCCAGCACGCTCGCCATGGTCGACAGCAGGTGCTTGCCGACAATGTCGTATTGATCGGCGCGGATAAACAGACTCGCGTGCTTGTGGCAGATGAGTTCAACCGCGGGACTCAGCTTGCCCAGGTTGTCGATGTTGGCGGCGTAGGCGTACAGGGATCCTGCGAGTGCTTGCGCTTGATGACCCGTCGCTTGGTGCGTGTTGTTGAAGATGTTTTTGAGTTCCGGGTTCGCTTGTAGCATGTCGTGGTAGAATCGAGTGGTTATGGCCGTTCCATGTTCTGCGAGTACCGGCACGGTGCTCTTGATGATTTGGACTTGGGCTGGTGTCAAGGTGGCCATTGTGCGTTCTTCGTTTGTCTATCCTTGTTTAAATTTAAGTAGCTTTTTGTCTATACTTGATAGTCGAGTTGTAGTAGTAGTAGTAGTAGTAGTAGTAGTAGTAGTAGTAGTAGTAGTAGTAGTAGTAGTAGTAGTAGTAGTAGATATGAAGCCTGTTGTTGTATGTGTGTGAATATGTAGTATGAATAAAACCATACCACATCTTTCACCATGACACACCTATATACCTCCCTGTCCTTTCCATCCGACCACTCCGTCCATTCCTACATTCCCCGTTCAAACCAACATCTCCGCGGTAACTACAAAACTTCACCTTTTTGCTATCCAACTCCCCAATCCATCACGCCCCCCTCGTGGCCTGTTTTCCCGGTCCCCACATGCGGATATCTCGCAAGGCGCATACAGCATAAAAAAACTCGCGTGATATAATGCTGAGTCACTTGCAAATCTGGCGCAGACAAAACGCCCAAAAATTAAAAAAAGGCTTAATGGAATTTGTAAGGTAAAAAGTCGGACGTTTACGGTAGTGGGGCCACCAAAAAATTACGTATTGATTTGGTTACATTGTTTTGCACGTTACTTACTGTTTGCGCTGTAGCGGTTTCTCCGATACTTCCGTTTGCCGGACTGCTGTTTTTTCCTTTGCTTCGGCTACGTTTGCCCCTGGCAAAGGATTTTAATTCTTATTGTTTATTTTGGCAGAAGTTTATCATTTACACCGTTGATCAATTTTGATAAATAGGATTTATCTGGTTGGCTGAAGTTGTGGAAATGCGAAGAGAAAAAAAAGTAAAGTGAAAGTTACTATTGCAAATGGCGCATATGATTAATTGGGTTTGGAACTTTGAGTCAATCAATATGCGCCATACAAACACGCAGAGTGAAACCAAGACTTGGAAATGCTGCATGCAAGACTGTTCAGCTGAGCGAATTACTCACACCATTTTTTTTTCTCCTTTGAAGACGCTTGAAATCAGACGTTGCATAGTGGCGCGTTGCGCGAGGCTCTCTCACGCGCGCAGGCAAAAAGAGAGGGCTGAGAAAGAAAACAAAAATATCACACCACAAACGTCAGATAGCCACATGATACTTTTTTTTCCACTCTTGCAAGCCACGACGGCGAACGCAACACATAGCCCCTTTGGTCCCGCGCCACAAATCGGTATGCCGACTTCTTCCGAAAAACAACTCGTGGTACAAGTATTTTTCTGATCATTCAATCATGGCCCCCCGGACCCCGTAGGGCGCTGGCGCGGGATTAGTAAGAGGGGCTTGGGTGCATTGTGTCTGGATGCGCTATGGAATTAGGAAATTGATAATAGGTAGGTTGGTAAGGCGCCCTTGTGACAACTGGTTGGGATGACGCTGAGTGTTAGGTTGTGAGACTTTTTTTGGGTTGAGGTGTTTGTGTTCTCCGCGGAAGTGCGAAAGAGGGATTGATTTTAGAGGAATGCAGGTGTGACGTGGGAAAGGGAAAAATTGGTGCAATCATATTCTTGACATAGGGGTTACAATGGGACTGGGAATATCTACGTCAGGGACTATGCAAAGGCATGTATTTGCTGGATGGACTACACCAAGTAGGTATACACCTAGAGGGTTTCCTGGCTGCTGAATGGCACGCGCTCTGTGCGTTGCAGCCAAGACCAATCCCAGGTCTTTTGGTTCTTGGATTTTGGCACTGTCTCTGGCTCCAGGGACTAACAGTGGCAAGGTCCCTGTGCTTGACAAACGCCGTTGTGACATGAATCTAGTTCTGGGGAACGGCGGGCCTTGCATGTGCTATGACTATGCAATGGTCAGCGCTTCAAGTTGCCTCCACCTAGGCGGGCGGGACGTTCCGACTCATCAATACGTACCCTGCGCATATTCTTTCTAGACCGCCGTTCTGCTGTCTGGATAGAGTTTCCGACATGACTCTTTGACTCTAAAGCTTTTATGCAGGGCCTTTTCGCATTGGGGAGACGCTGCCACTGAACTGGGTCCCCAAGCATCTTGCGTACGGACTCAACCTTCTTTTTCGCACGTACATACGCGAGACATCTAAACCATTAGTTACTTTCTGAATAGCGTTCATCTCGTATCCATGAGGTACGTCTCACCATTAGTCTTGGGCATACCATTCGTGGAGTTACCCGCATAATACCTTTTCGTATAAGAACAACGAGACCGGCAATCCCAGCCTTGAATCCACATATTTCCAAAATAGAGCAACTCAAAGAAGCACCCAAAACTTGACGCAAAATAAGCCATGCAGCTCGCAAGTCTATAACGCTGCATGCATATCTCGAACGCAAACAAAGTTTCAACACATTTCAAAACATGCATGGGGGCTACATGCGACAACACCACAAACACATGCAATGCCAAAAATCACGCCTCCTCGATATTGCCTCGGCCATTTACTCCGCAAAATGCGGTCTGACAGCAAAAGCAGTAACAATGAGAACGGTAATATCGCCACTCTGCGATAATCCGGCTGTGGGGCCGGCGTACCCGTAGCAAAGTTCTTGCTAACGAGCACGACCCCCATATACCCATACTATAGGCTTTTATGGCTTCATTCAGGTGCTATGTGACCAGCAGACGCATTACATGACTAGAATTTTAGAGTCGGTGAAACTAGGTGGATACTTTCTACGTAAGTTCATTGTCATGGGTATTTCGAAGACCGAGGAACAGAGGTCGCCGGGTTATGGGAAGGTCCGAATGGTTTGCAGTGGCTGGGGAAGACAAGAGTTTGGAGATAGTGAATAAGGCGATACTAGAAATGGAGGCAAGAGAGGCGAGTAGGCCAAGGGGCATGTGGCGTTCGTTTGGGTGTTGGCCCAAAAAGTGGTGAGATTCTAGTGAACCCACCACCGTGCTTCTTTATGAACGCATTCAAACACCATTCATAACACCATTACAACATCACAGTCCATACTCACACCTCAATACACCCCCAACCTACCGCCTCCCAGAAACTCCCCGGAAACCCTTCACACCGCGGGAATACCAGCACACCGAACTGAAACACCCACCAACGCAGCCCCCGATTCCCCACTTCGAACTTTATCCCCCTCCCCATTTACACTTCTCTTTGCACAACTCTATCACGTCAAAGAAGCAAAAGAAAAAAATGATCTCCCATCGAAAACCTTAGCCCCAAACCGAGTCTGCGGTGTGAATACCGGAAAAAAGAAAACTTTTTCTCCATCGAGATGACACGCAACCCCCCCCCCCGCGGGCATATTCCGAGGAGAAAGAAAGAAAGAGAAGAAAGAACAAAAAATGAGCTAGTAGGGACTGGAGAAACAGAAGGGATAAGAACAAACAAAAAAAAGAGTTGATCGCGTGTCAGTCACTACGCCCATTTTTAGGGTGGGGGAGCGAATCACGGCTTACTGGGACTAGCGCGACGCTGCTGGAAAGGTTTCGCTCGATAATGGGGGGGAGAGCATAAGTGGTGCATTAATTTTGTGCAGCGGGATGATGACTGCTGTATAGGGGGGAGGGGGTTTGCTGTGTGAGACCAATAATCTATGTGACGAGAGGATTTCTCGTAGGTTTTCTGATTGGGAGGCTGGAGGAGTTGAGTGTATTGCTCCTTTTTGGCATTCCTTCAGGGAATGTTTGGCGCGGCGCGAGGTATCGTCGTGGCTGGAGGGTGTAGCGGAACGGTAAAGGCTGGAGCGATGTTGTTCGAGGAGACCAAGATGTCAGTTTTACACCCCAGGTTGGGCGAATCTGGTTTGATATTTTCTGTGCTCCGCCTGGAAGCAGGTACTTGGTCGTGAAGAGCTTCGCACTTGTCTGCGTCATTGTCTCTTCCTTCTTTTTACCGTAGCAGACCATAAGGGTGCAAAGTCATTGGGTAGACCGTAAACACTCCCAAGTGAGCTATACTCTTGTATTACAGATATGATACCACCTCAGCCACTTTCTCGTGTATATTTCTGCTATGGATTGATACGTCGTTCTCTTTGGTATCAATGAAATGTCTGAAGCATTCGAGTGTCTTACAGTCTTCCTGCAGAACATAGGTGAGAGGTAAGGTATCCCTTTGAAATTATCTTCCATACGATACTTTGCTGATGTTGAAGGATCTTTTGGATGGTTTTTTACTTAAATCCGCTATCAGCTGGAAGTCCTGATAGAGAGGGACAAATGTTGAAATGACTAAAGGCTTTCAGTAAAAGTAAACGCGCAGCGGTTACGGTAAAGACGATACAACATCTTGATTCAAACCTAACTTTCACTTATGGCTGCAATGACCATATTCGATATGGTAAATATACGCTGTGGGACGAGTGGAAGATGGTCGAATAATATTAGACATGATCATAAGATACGGCCTCTTTACGAGACATAATCCTTTTCTCTAATAAGTGCTATTTATTTGACAAGGATTTCTGAATTCAGAAACTATTAAAAGGTTTAGTGTATATTTTAGAAGAGGATGGCAATTTAAGGCAGAATAGGAGGTGGCGGTATATATCTCTCTGGCTGTGCTGGCTACCGTACCTTCTCTAGCTACTTGCCACTATAATTACAAGCTGCTTAAACTCTGCCTTCCTCTAATTAAAGGAGGAGATACTCATTGCCTACTAATGATTGGGAAAGTTAAATCGCTAAAGTCGAACGACGGCTTTCATCTGCAGTACAAGAATATGTAGATGTTGATATACCAAACAGACGAAGGGTAGCAGGCTCAGTCACCAAATGTGCAAAACAATGATGAATAGAAACTGAATAGTAAGGCCGCTAGGTCATAAGTCACCAAGAGCATGGGGAAAAGAAGAGTATGTCTTTCGGTACCATACTTTATATATATTGAGACTCTGCTAAAGAAACCGACACTATCTGGCGACGTTAACTTCCCCAAAATTGCAGTCAAGGCCAGTAGAACGGCGCTGCAAAAGTGCATGTAAATAGCCGGGATTTTCGAGAATTCCAGAATATGGCATATCACATCTAGGCACTATGCAGGTGAATCTGACTTCTGGACTGGTGTAAGTAAAAGACTTCGGGTACTATTTCCCAAGTCATGGAATAGTCACACCCACGCGATGATAGGATTGATTATCATGAAGAGAAGTGATGAAAAACAAGCCTGATGCGAATGAGACTAGGTATTCGCCTGCTCTCATACATCAGGGTCCTGGACTTTTCCAGTGCTCCCTATAAACTCACAATTCTCCTACTGTTCTCATACTGCAACCACTGTCAACACATTCTTGCTATTGAACAGGAGATGTGCTTTTGATCCTGCAGATACCAATGTTAAGTCCGAGTATTCTGCAGCGGAAGTTTCCAACGATGGAAGAAAAGCATCCGATTAATCATTTGACGAGGTATTGAGGAAGAGGTTATTGTATTCGCTCAACAATCCCCTACTTGAAATCAGCAGACCAACTGCGACTACCAGTTTATTGAATAGAAAAACATTTGTCTTTTTTTGCAGTGCAACGTTACTCAATTTCTGTCGTACTAAGTCTTTGACCCATCAAGCAAGCCGTGTTGGATATTGTAGGCAGTCAAGTCACGTGGCCAGTGCGAAGGCAAAAAAAGACAAAAAAGACTTTTTGGACAGTCAGAGGTGGATTCGAACACTGGGACCACCACAACGATGCCAAAAATTTGCAAAAAAAAATGGTAGCTTCTCTTTGATTGAGCGTGTCATCCTTAGTGCAGGGGCCATGCTAATCTTCTCTGTATCGTTTCATTGACCAAATGCCCGAAGGCGAAGTGTAGAAAAATTAAGAAAATTATATACTCGAATACGGTCAGAACTCAGCTGAAGGCAGCAGCAGTGGGACGTGCGAGTGCGACCCCTATGTGGACGGTGCACGGACGGTGCACGGATCATTGAATCTTCGTTATTGCCAATATCTGACGTAAACACTCTCCACCGCTTTCCCAGCCTCCGCTCCCCAACATCGTCTGTGCAACTCCGCTTGTACACGTGCTTTGAGTGGACAAAGTTTCACGTCTCTTTCGTTATTTATTTGGAGGCTGTGCGACATTGCCATGAATTTAGAGGCTACGCGATCACTCCTTCACCCCTGCCCTGCATATAGGCAATCAGTACCGATGTATTTATTATCCGCAGTTCTTGGAACACGCGACTAGCAAGTTTACAAGAATTTGGAGGACTGCCATAGACAGAATCTCCCGACTTCTGCTGCTCGCCTCCATCTGGCGTCGTATTACAGATATCACAGGGAGCACGAAGAGAATTAGAGCAGACCACCAGGGCTCCGACACCGATACATTGAGATTATGGTTCACGACCTGAATTCGTAGCGCGGATCAAACTCATCTTGGTAGTGAACTATGTGTTCTAAAAATATGCGCTTCCAAACCGTGAACGAACTCTTTACTTAACCACAGATTGTTGAGTGACAGAAACTAACGCCCCAACAAGGTGATGATTCGGACGCTTGGGGTCGTGGAATAACTGTGTACAATATATTTGGGAACGACAAAACCAATCAAGAACCAGTGAATCAAATTTTCGCTAGCTTTTCCGGAGAATTAAGACAGTGATATATTGGGTCACGTATGTCAATTTCATGTCAAAGATGCATGTGAGGTTGTTAAGTAGGACTACGTGTGTTTATAGTCTCGCAAGCACAAATATTCTTATCTCAGCCGACAAAAGCAATGTAATGACTTTTGGCATATCAGATCAAGAAGTCTGAATTTATTCATGGCCGCATACAGGCTAGTTTATTGCTTCGCGCCCAGAACCTCCTTGACAACCGCAATAACTTGTGGGAAAGCATCCTTGGGAGCCGCAACTACACCCTTATTTTCTTTGAGTGTCCTACCAAGACCAAAGTCAAGCGGCTTTCCATAGGCATCAGTGACTTCACCGCCTGCCTCTTGGACGAGGACAACACCAGCAGCATGGTCCCAGATCTTCTCTTGGTAAGTCTTACTAGTGGGCAATCTCAAGTACAGATCGCCAGCTCCACGGGCAATGGAGCAATACTTGGCTTGAGAATCCATACGGACCGAAGGCTTCGTGATACCGAGTTTGGAGGCAATGGCAGCATTGTCGCCTTGTGATGAGTGACCCGCTTCAACAGACTCGCAAAAGGTAGCTTGGGTAACGTCTGACAGCGGCTTCATCTTGATACTCTTTGGCTCTTGGAGGGCGCCCTTGCTCAGCGGTCGGCTGGTAGCACCTTGGCCCTTCACTGCAGCAAACAAAACACCCTTACCTTCCTTGTCATCTGCATCCTGTCCAGTGGTGACATCAAGGGGTGCTTGGTCATCTACTGGGAGGTTGGGGCACCCAATGACACCCAAAGTCGGAACACCATCTACAAGCAATCCAAGGCAGACAGCGTACTGTCCGCCACGGAGGAAGCCCTTTGTGCCATCAATGGGATCAAGTGCCCAAATTCTTCCCTTCCTGCCTCCCTCGCTGTTTCCCTGGTCGATAGCAGACAACATTGCGTCGGCGCTCTTGATGGGCCCGCCAATCTTGGATTCTGCTGCACTGTCGTCCAACTTTGCTGCTTGTACGAGATCCCAGACAAGGTCGCGTAGCGAGTCGTTCTTGCGGAGATCATCGGCGTCCTCTTCTCCAACTATCTCATCTTCGGGGAAAGCGTGCTTTATGGATGCAATGATCAAGGCCTGTGCGCCAAAGTCGCCAATGGTGACGGGGGACGAGTCGCTCTTGGACAAGGTGCCCTTGGAGTGGCTCGAGTATACCGACTTTGTAAGGATGGAGGCGCGCTGGACGGCCAGGAGAGCAATTTCAAGTTCTTTCTCGTATGCCATGATGTGTGTACTGGAATTCGTGTGTAGGAAGTGTGACGTCTGTATTGCGATGGATGGGTAGATGTGCTGTTTCAATTGAGAGAGACGAGCAACACTGCGAGAGAGCAAAGACGGGTTGAGGAGTGAGAAAGCCAGGATGGCAAGAGCTAGCAGAAAGAATCTTGATGGCGCAATGTGAGTGGACATGAGCTAATGGTCTTGTACCCCTCCACGCGCTGGTGGGGGTTCTGCCGTGGGATGGGTTCACGCCCAGGGACCGAGCTTGGCAACGGCGGGCGGAGGTTACTGCTTTGGTCATGGCCGCCATAGCAACAACAACAACCCTACAGCTTATGTGACCGACTAGCTGCTTTCGATACTGCCATC